TTTGAGTTTTGCCTAAGGCCTCATAAAGTCTAGAGCCGCCTCTGGTTATCATACACTGTCTGACCCAAGGTGTATGCATATGGCTGAAGGATCCTGTGATATTCTATAGGTAGGGATGAGTTTCTCATTTCTTACATATACTTAATTTAAAAAAAATCTATTTCACTTTAAAATGTGATGAAAGGATTGATATATAAAAAAGGAATAGTTTTGAGGGGATAGTTGTCCTTTAAAGGGAAACTATAGTGCTAGGAAAACAATATATTTTCCTGGCATTATAGCAACCACAATAGTGCCCTCCTCCCTTGCGCTCCCAATCCTTTCTGTCACTTACTTCGGCGTTGGTTCAGGCTTCATCTTCGCTCCCCGACATCAGCCGGTGGAGGGAACCTAATGCAATGGCTGTGCTCGAATTAGGAATTCCCCCGTAGAAAAGCATTGTATAATGCTATCTTATGGGGTTTTGGGTAACACTGGATGTCCTCATGTATCGCGTGAGGATGCCCAGCGTCAGATGACCATAGGTCATCTAAAGTTCCTCTACTGGCTGCCTGTTAGACAGCTACTGGAGGAGGACTTAACCGTGGCAGGTAATTATTGCAGTTTATTAAAAACTACAATAATTACAATTGCTGTGTTAAGGGACCTGGGAATATGCACCCAGACTACTTCAATAAGCTGAAGTGGTCTGGGTGCCTATAGTATCCCTTAAACTCCAGCGAGCTAATGGAAGCTCCTAGCAGGAGCTTCCGTCACAAGTCTGGTGTTTGGAGTATCCCTGTAAGGCAACAATAGCTGATGGTGGGAAAAAATTCCAATTCAACTATAGCCATAGTCTGGTTATTATTGCCTACATTTTTAAATTGTTTCTCAATTCGCTACAATTTAGAGATGAGTGAATAAACAACATATTGTCAGCATCAGCCTCCCTTTGAGTATTATGTTAGAAACCAGTTTATCCCCCAGTGCTGTAATATGAACAGTCTTTCAGCCCAGAAACTCACAGGTGGTCTCTTAGTAAGGAAAACACAAACTGTGAGCCTAATGTGAACAGTCTCTCAGTCAGAAAATCTTAAATAGTCTCTGATCTCAGTGTGAATAATCGCTCAGCCAGGAAAACAAAAACACTCTCTTACTGTGAACAGTCTCTCAGCCAGGAAATCTGATATAGTCTCTCATTTTAATGTGCATAATCTCTCAGCCAGGAAAACCAAAACACTCTCTTAGTGTGAACAGTGTCTCAGCCAGGAGATTCTACAATATCTTCGTGTGAAAACTATTTTATTCAAGAAAGCCCAGTCTATCCTAATGTGAACATGAACAGTCTCTCAGTGAACAAACCCGAGATGGTCTTGTGTGAGCAGTCTCTCTGTAAGGATACCCCAATCGGTTCATTAGAATGAAGAGGTTTTCAGTTATGAAATCCCAGACAAGAACAATCTTTGGAAATGGAACACCCAACATCTGTCTCTCTATGTGCATAATCCCTCGGCCAGGAGAACACAGATATATCTTAGCTGTAACAGTCTCTCAGCCAGGAAACTCTCTAGCCAGCATATTAATGTGAGCAGTCTTTCAGTCAGGAAAACTCTGTCTCTTAGTGTGAATAATCTCTCAGACAGTAAATCCCTTCCAGTCCCCTTTATCCAACAGTCTCCTAAGAGAAGGGCTCTCTATAAAATAAATAAATAAACCAGTTATGAGAACAGCCCTATTTGTATTGTGCAGTCAGTATAATTAGTCTCTAAGTGAATGAGAAGATTGTAACTATCTGCCCAGCTAACTCTACACAGTGTACTTTGGCAGTAAGTAGCGCTACTTAGCCATGTTCAGAGCAGTCTCGGAGCAGGAGCTGTCTCCTTCTGCCAGCCCCGTGCAGTCCCCTCTCTAGTGCAACCTTACTCTTGACGCAGTCATTCCCTCTCTCTCCGGTAGAGTAGCCCGTCGTTCCGGTGGATCTCTCTTTCTCTCTGAGATCTCCTTGCTCTATCCGGCAGTCACTTCGTCTCCGCTTTCCCTGGTGGGAGTCCCTTAATCCGAGGTCTCTCCGGTGGGAGCTTCTCTGTCTCCGGTCCCTCTGATGTCTGGGAAGGATGCGGGCTGTGCTAGAGGAGCTCGGGATCCGGGTGCTGCTGTTCGGGGTTTTTGTGTAAGTACCGAGACTTCCCTCCGCACCCCCTGAAAGCCCTATATCACCCCCAGCTGTAAGTAGGAAGCCTGGGAACTTGAGTTCACGCTGCGTTCTAGTGATAGAATGTTGCCTTTGCTAACATTCCATTCTGCGTTCTATGTGCAGTTTCTATGATAATAGAGTGTATACACATACATGCAGTGTATCACCATGGATTTTTAATCATATTAAATGCTGGTTTTACCTTATAGCAGATGTATATGACAGTCACATTGTTCAGTGGATACAATCTCTTATCTTCTTTGCATTCGAGCTGAGCTAATCACTTGATAAGTATCCTCTTTCATCCACAGTTATTCTCTCCAGATAGTCTTACTCTGATTCCACACATTGGGTCTCCTTTCTGTGCCTCTGCATACTTTTAGGTTTTTCTTAATCCTCTGTATGCCTTTGGGGAGATTATTATTTTCTGTAAAAAGCAACCCCATTGTCTAAATTATTATTCTACAAGTTGATGAATGTTGGTCTGTTCTGTAGGTATGAAGAATAATACAATTCGATACAGTGCTTCATACAGTCCATTCAACTTGCTAGACTGGGTATTGTGATTTTGAATAGTAACTAATTTAATCTTTGTTCTTATTTGTTAAAATATGAATGTACACGTTACTGTTCAAATATACTTTTAAATTCTGCAAATCGAAGTATCAGAGTAATGAAATATTATAGCTTACTCTGGGTTACTTAATGCCTTGCAATATTTCTACGAAACAGAATAGAGGCAGAAATACTACTACATTAGGTGTGACAAAACTATGAATACAATGGTAAAAAATTGTTGCTATGGGTGTTTTAAAGGAGTATGCTAACATCAAAATATGGGAGTGTAATATTTAATACAGTAAAAAAAAGTGTGGTACTTTGTAGTAAAACTGCAGACAATATGTGCTAATTAATGTGTGTCCAGATTCATGGCATTTTTTTTGAGTTTATGTAAAGTTTGGGCATAACCACTTGAGATTGTATATGTGTTATTTGTTATCATGCAGTGTCTGTAAACATCAAAGAGCAAGTCTTCCAAAAAAGCATTAACCCCTTTTGCTTTCGATTTGCAATGCTGTCTTATTAGAACATGCCATATTTTGGTGTGTTATGAGTTTGGTATGTCATTAGGGTAATACTGGATTAGACAGACTAAATCAAATATCAACCCTTTGGATGATTCCATATCCAACACTTATTATGCTCAGGATTTGATATCCAACATCTATTATGCTCTGGATTGTAATGAGTTGAAATTCACATTCCACTTAGACACAGGCAGCTTTGCCTGTCTGTCAGGCTTCTTGTAAATGTTAACCTTCAGGTAGGCTCTCTGATCCTGCCATGGACAATCATGACTAACCTGACCCTCCCCACTTAAATATTTAGAACTTTTTTTTTTACTACTATTTTTAACAGTACTTAGTTATAAAGTAACAAACTATAAAAGATAATCATTTGTAAGTTCATATATTAGAATTTGCAGCATAGTTTTGACAATAAAAACCTGTTTGAAAGTGTGTTTTTATTTTGTAATTAAATTATTCTTAAAGGGAATAACAATATAGATCACAAGGAGTTTAGTTATGGTGTGTAATGCATCCCGATTTTATTATTCAATCTATATGACGCATTTTTCTTATTTACTTGAAACCCCAAAAGACTTGAAATCACCCTACTGTAAAAATGCATTACATTTCTGACAAATGTGCTAAAAGGCAACAGATTGTGTATCAGGCAACAGCACTAAAAACTTAGCACAGAAAAGTAGCTATTAGGTTATTTACACTTGAAATTATAAATATAGATACACACATCTATTCAATATACACAAATATCATACAAAATCCAACACACTCACTAAACCACAGATTTAATGCTCACAAAATGTACCAGTTTTCAAAACACCGGACTTCGCCAATGTATTCCAATTTTGGCAGGTCCTATTCTAGCAACCTAATGCCAACTCTCATGAAATAAACATACTTGGGAACTAATTCTCCTGGGACTTTAGTGAGTAAGTGCTTTGGATCTTGTATGTTATAGCAATTTGTCCCAGCTGCACCCTTATAATGTATGCATTTTGAGGTGAGTGGAGCCTTTCTGGTTGAATTTTTTATTTTCATTATTTTCAATACTTTCAAAGTGGCAAAATAGCGTGGGGTAGCCAACCACTCCGCTATTGCGCTATGGTGTATACAAGAAGAATATGTAGTAAATAAATGTATTTTTATCGGGTGTAGCAGCACCCGTACAGTTTGCAGTATATAATTCAAGTGTATACATTTTGTTGTCAATAGTTGTACATTTTGAGTATCTTGTATAACTGGGTAGCCTATCCCGTTCCTCACCTGCGGTTGTTCGCCAATATATTCTAACTTTTAACCCTGAAGTATATGTAGAGAGTCAACAGGGTGAGGCAATCTTGGTCATGGGGCACCGCGATAAGGTAATAATGCACTTTCAAGAAGGTGGGTTGCTGCATCTGGTGCTCCATGTGGACAAACAGTGTCTTAAAGCCTCAGCTTCTTTCTTGGGGCTGTATTGGCCTGCATACCTAGTGTTGTCCGTACGAGATAGCAGAGAGAAGGTCAGTAACTGGGGGGCGGGGGAGTAAGCCCCAGAATAGCAGAAAGTCTGTGAGGGTAGAAAAGATGAGGGGGGGTCCCCCGCTAAGCAAGAAGGGGGGGTTCCTCGCATAGGACGAGTGCCCCCCCGCCCACTTCACCTTCACTTCTGTCGCTTAAGTCACTTTGTAACCATGGCTTCCACTTTTTCTAACTTTTTTAGGGAGCCTCGTGTGATGGCAGTCAATTTGTCCATGAGGTAGGTTTCCTTAGTTTCTTTGTATAACTAAGGACATGGGTGGTGCGTCTTGTTTGAGCCAGTTCTGTGCTAGGGCTAATCTTGCCGCCAACGCGAGTTTGTGCAATAGTGTTGCATTGGAAAATTTGTGCTATGAGGCCTCTCACTTTTTGCCAGAAGGACTTTGCTACTGGGCATTCCCACCACATGTGGATGTATGACCCTTTGGTCCTGCACTGCGTCCAGCAGAGGTCGTTTGGTATTTTGCCCATGCGGTATAACTGTATTGTACTACAATATTGTTTTATATGTTTGTTCCTGAAGTGATCTGCAAATTTAGACAGCTGTGTTGGCCTCCTAGATATCCTGCCAGTCCGTGCCTGCCAAAGTTTCCCCCAGGTCAGTCTCCCACTGCTCTTCATATGTCAGTTTTCCCCATTCAGTAGAGTTGGATGCTATCTGTGCGTACAGTGATAAGATCGACTCCTTAAGACACATGTGTTCAAATCTTGTCATCTGTTGTTTCGTGGCTTCTCGTGTCTGTATTTGGCCTACAAAATCCTTGAGTTGTATGTACCGAAATAAATCTTCCGGCTTAAGAGTTGTTCTTTCCGAGAGCTCATCGAACGAGATCACTCTGTCGCCGGTGCTCATGAGCCAGAGTCTTTGTAGCCCCATGTATTCCAGGTTTTTAAAGTCTCTGGCCCTCATCTCCGGGGGGAAGGCCTTATTTCTGAGTAAGGGTAGAATTGGAGAGGGGAGTGTTGCTAAGCTGTACTTCTGAGCATATTTGTCCCAAATTCTTATTGAGTTCAGGACCGCCGGGCACTCTGTACGCAGGATAACTGTATGTTCTTTGGGCAGCCAAATGTAGAATTGTGGCAGATCTGACCCCATTTTCTCTTTGGGCAGCTAAGTACTAGTAAAAGAGGTTAGGTAGTCCCAGACCTCCGGTGGCCTTTGATCGGTAAAGTATGTTGCGTGATATCCTGTGTCTTTTTTTGCTCCATATAAAATCTCTGATTGCCTTTTGCAGTGGGGCAAGACCAGATTTTGTGAAGGGATCGGGAGGACCTGAAACAAGAAAAGGGTACATGGGAACACGTTCATTTTAACTGAGTGTATCCTGCCGATCCACGAGATTGGTTTGTCTACCCACTCATCTAGGTCAGTCTACCCACTCATCTAGGTCCTGCATTGATGATTTGAACATAGGTACATAATTTTGTGCATAAAATTGAGTTGGGTCAGCTGTCAGGTGTACCCCTAAGTTTTTAATCATTTTGCGATTCATTTGGATGTGATGTGTTGTGATGATACTGGTCATATCTGTGTCTGACATGTTGAGTGGGAGGGTGCTGGCTTGCCGAGGTTGACTTTGTACCCCGATAGCTTACCATATTCCGCTAGGGTCTGTGTCAGTGTTGGCATCAAGACTTCGGGTCGCGTCAAGGTGAGGAGGATGTCATTAGCATATGCCGATACTTTGAATTGCTCCCCCCCATTGTCACCCCGTGGATGTCTGGGTGGGACCTGAATTTGTGAAGTAAGGGTTCTAGCGCTAGAATGAAAAGTAAAGGGAAAAGTGAGCATCCCTGCCTAGTTTCGTTGCTCAGATTGAAGGGAGTTGGGGGCACCGCTAATCTGATTTGTGCCTTGACGTCCACGTACATTTCCCGGATGGACGCTATATAAGGATCTGGGAGTCCCATCTGCAACAGGAGAGTGAATAGGTACGGCCACCTGACGCTGAGAAGGCGTTCGACAGGGTCTAGCGACAGGATCAGGGATGGCTCTCTCGTCGTGTTTTGTCTCCATATTAAATCTACATTACGTGTCATGTTTTTGAAGAGCTGTCACCCCTGGACAAAACCCACTTGGTCCACTTAGACCACGGATCACTCGCAGCGGATTCAGTCGTGTCGCCAGTATTTTTGCTAAAACCTTGACATCGTGATTTAGGAGTGAGATGAGTCTATAGTTAGGGTCTATAGTTACTGGGATCAAAGTCGCTGTCTACTTGGTCTTCCTCCATCAGATCGTTGAACCATATCTTCATGTACGGTACCAACTACTATATAAAGTTCTTAAAGTAACTGTCATCTAGTCCAGGTGATGGAGTTGGCGGTGTCATGTGTTTTTAACTGCGAGGTGCAGGCTAAGTAGCTTTTGTGTATTGTGTTGCGCAGGGTTTTTTTTGTGCCGTTGTTCTGCTGTGCGGAGGGAGTAGAGCTGGTTGTGTAGTTTCTGCATTTTCTGTTTCTTTTTAAGGGTTGCTGGTTTGAATTAAGGTCCCTCGAATGACTGTCTTATGGGCTGCCCATACCGTGGCTGGTGGGGTTTCTGCACTACCGTTTAGGATAACGTAATCGTGGAATTTTTTTTTACTGCCTCAATCACCTCTGGGTCTCTTATTAGTGCCGAGTACAGTTTCCAGTTCCACGGTGTGGCCACGCAGAGGTTATCTAGGGTAAGCGTTATATCGGCATGGTCCAACCATGTGATTGAGCCTATGCTGGTCTTTGTTACCCAGGGCACTGCTACATCATTGATAAGTGAGTAAGTGTGGTGGGATGCTGAATAGAACGTGTAGTCGTTTGTGCCTGGGTGATGAGCTCTCCATATGTCTATTAGTCCGGTGCATTTATTGAAGAGATTGAGCAGTTTATCCTGGGAGCCCTTACCCTGGGATCACACCTGTCCAGGTGTCGTACACCTATCTATGACTGGGCTTGGGGTGGCGTTGAAATATCCCCCCATTACCACCTGACCAGAAGGTTGGGTTATGATCGTTCGGGGTGTATACATTAATGAGGTGGGTAGTATAGGAGTAGAGGTTGCCAGAAAGTATGAGATATCTTCCCCCCCCCCCCCAGTCTGAGACGGCCTGTGTCACCTGAAATGGGCATCTGTTATGGATTAGAATGGCCATGCCATTCCGTTTCCGAAATATTTGGGCTTCGTAGACTGAGCTATAGACGTGATCTCTCATTGCCACTAGAAACCCTTGAGGCAAGTGCGTATCTTGTAAGAAGGCTATATCAGAGATTATTCGTTTGAGCTCCCGGAATATAAACCTACATTTTATGGGTGTGTTAAGCCGCTTGACATTGAGAGATATGACTTGTCGATACATTGTGGGGAACTAGACGGTCTACCGGTCTGTAGATCTAAAGTGTGTCGGGTGTTGGGCACCAAGGCCAGTTTGGCTGGGTAACTGCATGCAAACTTCCGTGGCCCCGAGCCCCAACCCCCCCACCAACCGCCCGTCCGAGGGGAGTATCCCGGGTGAAGAGATGGTCAGATAGAGGGAGAGGAAAGGAAGAGAGGAAGTCGCAGAAAAAGAGGTGAGGTGCATAAAAAAAAAAAGGGAAACAAAACAGTAAGGCCTGGTCTTAGTACGCGCCAGGCACCTTTGGTGTGTGCGCTACGGACCCCCTTTTTGTGCGTCTCACGAGTAAGGGGTAACCAAGTCTTGTCTGACTATTCAAAAATACCACATCGTGGCTAACCATTAAAACCATGATAACTTAGCAAAACCTTGTGACGTATAGGGAAATATGAACGAAACATGAGCGAAAGCGGTCCTGGGGTGTAAGTGTACTCATCCCATAGCCCTCTCTGGCCCACCCACCATCCGGAGCATCCTAGCAGTGGTCATGGGCTCCTTTCTTTGTGTAAAGCACTGGGGAGGATAAGGGTTGGTCTCACGGAAGCTAGTGTCTTCACTGGGTAGGGGGGTAGCCCTGGTCCCTTAAAGGCCTCCAACTCCTCGAGGCCAACTGGGCCGGCCTGTGTCAATCCCTAATCATTTGGTTGACATTCTTCTAACTCCAGCATTGTGTAGCTATACTATTCCATTATTTTTTTTTTAATATATTTGATTTTCATCATCTGAACTTTCCGGTTTGTTCTGTCTGCCCTATGGCCAGAGAGAGAGCTTTAGTCAGGTGTGGCAAAGAGGTCTAGCTAGTGTAGGCTCTGGGCCTGGGGGGTGCGGAGTGAGGTCAGGACGGGTCTGTGCACGGTGTGGGCTTCCTTCTCAGGTGTCTAGATTGGTACCCCTGGGTCTTTAACCCTGGTGACAGATACCTTAAGGTGGGGGTTGGGCAGGGCCGGTGCAAGGATTCTTGCCGCCCTAGGCAACAATACATTTTGACGCCCCCTCATGAATGGAACTGCATTCCCTCAGAGGTTTATTCACTAAACTCTGAATTACACTAAAGAGACATTTAGGGAAAGAGACGCACTGAGTAGATATTAAAGGGAAACTATAGTGTCAGGAAAACAAACTTGTCATCCTGACACTATAGCTTCCCCCTCCGTCAAGCACACCCCCCTGGTGGTGCAGCAGGGGTTAAAACTCCTTCTGTCACTTACCTGGGTCCAGCACCAATGTCTTTTGTGCTGGCTTGGGTCAGCCTTTGCTCCTCAAGGGCCGCGCTCACAGTGGTATTTCCGTGATCCTAGGTTTTGCGTGACGCTGGACGTCCCCGTGCATAGCCACTAGAGGAGTTAACCCTGAACAGTAATTATTGACGTTTCTTAAAAATTGCAATAATTACCTTTGCAGTGTCATTTACACAATCTCACTAATACACACACTCTCTCACTGGCATATACACTTACACATTCTAACTCTAACTTACACACTTTAACACATACACATTCTCACTGACCTACACATTGTCACTTGCACACTCTCACTAATACACACAATCTCACTGGCATACACATTGTCAGCTACAAATTCTAACATCACACAGTGGCACTTACACATACTCACTAACAGTGTCACTTGCACACTCTCCCTAACACACACGCCCAGAGTCACTTGCACACTCTCCCTAACACACACACCCAGAGTCACTTGCACACTCTCTAACACACATTATCACTTACACACACCCAGAGTCACTTGCACACTCACTAACACACATTAACTATCACTTACACACTCTCACTAACACACACACCCAGAGGCACTTGCACACTCTCCCTAACACACATGCCCAGAGTCACTTGCACACTCTCACTCACATACACACCCAGAGTCACTTGCACACTCACTCACATACACACCCAGAGTCACTTGCACACTCACTCACATACACACCCAGAGTCACTTGCACACTCTCCCTAACACACACGCCCAGAGTCACTTGCACACTCTCACTAATACACACACCCAGAGTCACTTGCACACTCTCACTTACACACTCATTAACACACACACTATCACTCAAACACAAACTCACACCACTTTACATAAAGTCACACTTTATTTACAAACACAAACACATTAATTTAACACACTCTCCATTTACAAACATGCACACAATAAGCAATCCCCCTTAACCATGCCATACCTGGGTGCTGTGAAGAGGCCCAGGCAGCAGGATCCAGGATGTTGCTCTTCTTTCTCCTGGGGGAGCAGGAGAGCTATGCACTGTGAGCACAGGCTACTTTCTGCTCCCTTCACAGTGCTTCCGGTGTTTACAGGCAGGGGGCAGCCAGGATAACCGGTCATATCCCAGCTTCCCCTGCCTACAGGAAGCAAACAGTGCTCTGCAGTAAACCCCACTGCCCGAGCAGGTAATTTACAGCAGAGAGGAGCCCAGCAGGTGAGTCGCTGCGCTGGGGGGTGGCTAAGGAGCCTCTCGCCCAGCACAGTATCCCCAGACAGCTATAAAATGGCAGCCCGCCTGGAAACCACCTGGTGGGCGCCCCGCAAAGGCCTTAATGGTAGCGCCGGCCCTGGGGTTGGGGGATGGGGAGAAGGGGGGTAGCCAAAGGTGGGGGGGGGTTACTGAAAGAACTAAAAGCACATGATCACATCTCTAGGGGGCATATTGTCTGCTTTGCATGCTTGTTCGATGTGCCAAAGTTCCCCCGGTAGGTCAGGCAACAGTGGCCTTAATATAGGTAGGACCACATCCGCCAGCTCCGGTAGTCCTTTCAGGTGTATGTTGTTGCGCCTGGACCTGTTGGCTAGGTGCTCCAGCGCAGTTTGGGCAGCCTGCAGCCTGGATGTGAGGGATGTCACATGGTCTGCCACCGCATTATGTGCCTCCGCTGTGTGCTCCACCTGTTGCTCAAGGGCGGACGTTCTGGCACCCAGGGCCTGTATTTTGGCCTTCACTTCCCCTGTGGTGCGCGTGATTTCCTTGGCTAGGAATGTGCGTACCTCTGTCAATTTTTGCAGTATTTTTGCTGTGTTTAGCTGCGGGGATGGAGGTCTCGAGTCTTCTTCATGTTCGGAGGCTATTCCTGACGTGGTTGGTGGGAGTCGGCCGCCATCTTGGTTTCCATTCTGTGCCACGCGGGAGGCCACAAACAGGTCTTGCACTGTTGCACCCGGTCCGGGTGTTTTTTGTGGTGCTTACGCGCCATACATTTGTCCATCATCTCAGAATGGTGCAGGTAATTGGCAGGTGGGTTTTGTCTTGCTTAGGTGCTTATGTGAGCTGTTAGCCATGTGGTAGGAACGGAGCTTCACAGCTCGCTCAGCGGTCAGACTACACCCTTTCTGGTTTCATAAGTGTATACACTTTGGAGTCAAGATCAACCCCCTGACTGTACCCCTCACCTGTCCCACGTGTTAATTTCCAGGGCCCTGTTTAATATAGCCCTGCAGAGAGTCCCAGGAGGATGGCTTTTCGAAATAAATGGATTAATCTCACCCATGCAAACATTAGGTTACAAAAATAGGACCTGCCAAGAATGGGGTACATTGACATAGTGGCAGGCTTATGCAGTGTATCATCATATACTGTAATAAACTCCAAATATTTTTGCCTAGTTCAGATGTTAAAAAAAAAAGGAAAAAAAAAACTATTACAAAAGATTTTGAGGCTGGTATGTAGTGAGTGGGCGAGTGCGCTGGGTCTTGTATGTTGTGTCTACTGGTCGCTGAAGCACCCTTATAATGCATGCATGTTCAGGTGAGTGCAATCTTTCTGATTTCATATGTGTAATATGCAACACTTACCTAAAGTTTGTTTTATTTGTAGATATGTTACGTGTTAGTGTATTTCCCATCACCTTTTCCTCAACTATGACATGTGCAAAGCAACTACTTTTGCACATAGGAATCACACTCCCATCCAAAATTCTAACTTCTTCCTTGCCCAGACCAAGGGAACAGAAGAGCCTTATAGTGTATTGGGATTTTACCGCAGTTAGTTATAAGGGTTATTTACTAAAGCGAGACTTGTTGGGAATTCAAAGCAAACTTTTCAAGTGAATTTCAAATTTCAAATTTAAGGTTAAAGTATCCAAACTAGAAGCACTCGGGGATTTTCCCATTTCGCAATTTTGTCCTGAAATGTGAACTTTGAATGCAAATGTTTCACTTTGAATTCACTTTAAATTATGAATTAAGTGAAAAGCCCTGTATGTCTATTTACTAGACTTGTGAACAAGTCAAATTCCTGTTAATCTGCGCCCGGAGAAATCAATCCGTTTTAATTGATTGTTTCAGACTTAGATTAACAGGAATTTGATTAGTTCACTGCAGGTAAAAAGGATTGTGTGCAAATCTATTTACAAAATAACAATCTGATTATATTAACCCTATTTATTTATCCCTGCCTCTTACACTGACATCACAATAGCCTGACATCATTACTCATATTGCTGGACTTAAAGCGACACTGTCACACCAGACGTACCTTTCCCCTATTGTTTCCTCTTCTCTTCCTCTCTCATAATTTGCTCTTCTTATCTTCCTATCTGATCTAGTTGTTTTTTTTTAAAATATAAGATAAAGTAGGGACTACTTTGTCTTATGTATTTTTCCTACGCTTGGCTTTCTTTGACCATACGAGCTCCAGTTCCTTTGTCAAGGACATGGGTAAGTACTTTCCCTCACACAGGAAATGGAGCTGGTTTAAGGTCGTTCTTGGGTCAGAGAATGTCAAGCGTATGAAAAATACATAAAACAAAATAGTCCCTACTTTATCTCATGTTTTAAAGAAAATTAGATCAGAAACAAAGAAAAGAAGAACAGATTCTGAGAGAGGAAGAGAAGAGGAAACAATAGTGGAAAGGTAAGTTCGGCGTGTGAGTGCCGCTTTAATTTAACCTGTTTCCTCTGATACAATGATGTTGTACATGTGTTTGTTTTTGAAGATTGCCCCATTCTTTCTGATCGAGACAGCTAGATTATTAACCCAACTAATGAAAATGCCCATAATCTGAGAATTTGAGTTCAACTCTGAAAGTTTAGCTAATCGTATAAACTGATAAAATATCTTTGAACCAAGGGATCATGGGAACTGGGAAGATAAATGAATTATGACTAATACCAGTTCTTAGGAATGATTTTATTCTGTTCCAGTGAGGTTATCAATGAGATCTGGAGCACCGTAATCACCTGGTCTTGGACAGGGTAGTAATTTAGCTCTTTCTTACCCTATTCAATCCTTGTTGGGCTAGAGCAGGGGTGCCAAAAAGGTGGATCCCCAGACCTTGTAGTACTACACCTCCCATAATGCTTTGCATGAGTTTAGAATGACGAAGCATCATGGAAGCTGTAGTTTTAAAACATCTTGGGGTCTACCTTTTGGGCACCCCTGGGCTAGAAAAACTAGTGAATTATTTATTCTCCAGCAATCAAAAGGCACAGTAGACAAAGCAATTACAGCTTGGGAGCATGAAAATACCATAACATGGATTAATGAATATAGCACACATAATAGATACTTTCTTGCACAGGATTAAAAATATATTCAGCTCAACTTTCATCAGCTGTATCTTTGATCACCTTTGATTAGTGCAGTGCTATCTTATTCTAGCACTCAAAGCCCAGCAACACTTCTTTGTCATCAAGATTGATTTTTTTCCCCTTCTTGAATCACACCTTTATAATCCAAACACAACCACTTCAAGATCTATTTACACTAACCCCAAGAGCAATTCTAGCACTCTACAAATTTCCTATTACTATACAGAATGTCCCCATGCATTAATGGACTTCAATCATAAATATGTCTAGCTATCCATTCCTTGTTTATTTCCATTTCAAATCCAGTTACGCCTTGCATGCATTCATGAAAGAGTGCATTGTCATCAGTATTAGCGATCATAAATTCTGCCTTAATCTGGTATAAATTGTTATGCTTTTGTGCGTTTAAACTTATTTTGCACTGCATCTTTATTAGATTTAAATAGCTTTTCCTTTTTATGTAGTGTAGGTTTCTTTGCAGATCTGCACTATTTTTTAGGTTTTAAAAATTGTGTCTGAAACAAAATTTTCCCACTCATACAGAGCAGAAATTAATTTAAAGGGATAGCCTAAGCACCGTAGCCAGAGAAGGCGTAACTGGAAACCACGGGGCCCCGGTGCGAAAATTGCCCTGAGTCCCCCAACCCATACGTCTCACTCCCCCCCATTCCCTCCATGTGTCACACTCACGCCCTTGAATGTGTCTCATTCATGCAAATACACACACACCATATAACACATACAGATACATACACGTACACACATGCAGATACATACACACACGCAAATGCAGACACACAAACTCACACACACACAGATACACATAATTACACACTTTGAGATACAAAGAATGACACTCCTATAGATACAAACACAGATACGCACTGACACACATGTGGATACACAGACAGATACACATACACTTTAGGACAAACATTCAAATACACAGAATGACACACACTCATACAGATAGAAACAGTGACACACAGATACACAGGACACACATGGACATACAGATACACATACAGACATACAAACACATACCAACAGACACACACATACACACACACATACAGAAACATACACAAACACACACACACATGCAAAATGTTTTAGTCACCCTCCTGTTTCCTACCTTTTTAGGTGCAGGAGGGTGACTTCCCTGGGATCCAGTGGTGGCTCAGGCTGATGGGAGTCAGAGTTCCCACTCTGACTCCCTCCTTTCCTTCCTCCTTCCGTGAGGGCTCTATATAAACTTGGGAGGAGTGACCAGATCAGTCACTTCCTGCCAGCTCAGCCTGACATCCTCACAGGGGGCCCAGTCACGCTGTTAAAGTGCCGCAGCGCTGACTGGGCCCCCTGTTACTTTGCCATCGGGTGGCCCTTACAGCATGGGCCACCTGATGGGCCCCTTCAATGCGGCTGCTGGGGCCGCAACACATGGCAGCGGGCACCATGTTGCAGGGGTCCACAGGGCGGCCGGGCCTCCTGGAGTGGCTGGCCCGGTCGCAGCTGCGACCCTTGCGACCGCGTTAGTTCTGCCACTGACCATAACCACTACTTTATCAATATAGCGGTAACTAGACCCGTGCATTCGGTTTCAAATAAATTGCAGTTCATCCCAATTTGGGGGCAATCGGCAGTTCTTCCAAATTCTGTAACTCCGAAATACTATATGGACAAATCATAAACCAAACAAAACAGGTAATGGATGAACAGTTTATTGACTTCTAGATTCAATGCTCCGTCCACAAGACCAAAAAAAAGAGTTGAACGATGAGGGAAAAAAGATGTTTAAAAGTTGGGGCAGCCACTAAATGTTGATTTTATTCACAGAGCAAGGGAGAAGTGCCGAACAGAGGTGTAAAAAAATTAATATATTTCTGTTTAATAAAATTCTAACATATTAATTAAGATTTCTTTTTTTCCTACTGCTCGTACTTTTTTTTTTGCTTATTTCTTGTCATTTGATCCGTGAACCAATTGGTAGAAAAACACGCCTGTCGGTGAACTGCAAAATATATACATAATATTTATAATTGGTTTTCTGAAAACAATTGCATAGGTGAAATTCATCAGAAGCAAAACCTGAATCAATTTTGTCTCTGATATTGGATTGGGATTTGGATACTGCTCCTAAGATTTCATAGTGTTATAACGAAAAACCGCAGGGCTCCAAGTTTGGCTTCTCGGGATACAGAACTTATAAAAGTAATATATCTTTAAACCCTCTTTTTGCTTTGCAGTGGCTTCTCAACCCTTGCATTGCCTTTAAATGGTCAGAAAGATTAAGGGGTTATTTACTAAACAGTGAGCTGTGGTCGGTGGGTAACTGCCTTGCAAAACATAGGGCAAAATTGCTGAATTTCTAATAACCTCCAACTTGGCCTGGGAGTATTTTTCAAACTATTTCAGACACAATTTGCTAGAAAGTTGTCAACTTGTACAAGGTGCTGTTTAGTAAATAAGATCTAAGATGTGATCTTTATTGAAAAACACGCTGTTGTGCTGGTATAAATACTGTTAAGCTATTTTTGACAATACATTGCATTTTTCCCCACTATTTTAAATGTTCACTAGAGTTCCACCATGGAAATGAAACATTAGTGCTGCTACATATGGTAAAGCTGCAATTAAATCTGTCTTTTATAAAATGATTATTTTACACTTACACCAGTATCAGTGTTAAATCTCCGTGAAATATGATGTGCTCTTTTATTTATGAGAAATCAATGGGGGAAACATTTCATATTAATATTCTCATGCACTGAAGAGGTTATTATCTACTTTTATCTACTATTTGGAATGCAAGAGAGAGGGAAAGAAACTCGTCCCGTGCATTTTTTTTATCACAGCGGTGTGCCCGATGGCCAATCCGGGCCTGGTGTCATGTCCTTAAAACATCCTTTCAAATACACATATTTTTTACTTGACCTAAGTAACTTTTGGTACATTTTAAACTGTAATTTTTTTCCCTCTGTCTCGGGCACCATCATCATCAATGCCGGGAAAGAGCTTTCTAAAATTATGATTTCGTTTCCTGAGACTATGCTGCTTTTATTTCTCCCAGTGCTTGTGTTTTAATATCTCTTTTAGAATTTGCCCCCTTTCCTGATCTTGAGTGGTGTTTTGTTCCCCTCCTACAGATCTTGTGCCTTGTTGGCTATGTGATTGCTACTTTTCTTATAGGGGTACTCTAAGGACCATAACCACTAGAGCTGATCATGGGTTGAATTTAATAAAAAATAATAATTTGAACTCTGATTACTGAATAGAAAATTGTTCTTCAGTTAGCAGAGTAATATGCTTAGATCTTATAGTATAATGTAGTACTGGGTGTCTACATCCATCCATTATTGGACAGTAGTAATAGTTTGTGATGAGCCCAGTACTCTCAACTATCATTACTGTCCCAGATTGGATGCATAAAGCTGAAATTCACTTAAACATTTTACAAGCAGCTTGCAAGGTGCAGAGATACCACAACTTTTTGTACTGCTCCTCAAAAACAATTTGACATAAAAGGGTGAACGGCACTCAAATGATTTTTGTACCATAACCACTACAATGGGCTGCAGTGCTTAGCGGATCACTATGACACTATGAGTACCATAACCACTTTATCACAGTGAAGTTGTTATTGTGTGAGGCGGTCCCAATCACTTTACCCCTGTCCTTCTTCTCAATGTCCAAGGCTTCAATTAGGAAATGCTGCTGATAGGCTGTGTGCGTTAGTAACAACCCTTTGAGAAAAGCAAGTGAAAAAGATGCATACCTAAAGTTGTTATGGTGCCTAGACTGTCCCTGTAAGGTGCTTTGAGTTCGGCTTTAATTATTTTGGGTATCTTTTCCAATCAGCATATCCTTGTTATGTGACCGCATTTGACTATTTTCCTTTTACACATAAATAAAAAAAAAAAAAAAAAAAGTTGTTCATTATGTTGTTTATTTTCTGTCTTGTATTTGTATAACTGCACTATTTTCTAATCATGACTTGCTTGTTCACCTCTGCAAACTAAAGATGAAAAAAATGTCTCATGGCTTTTCCCATGATGCCTCGGGTTATCCTGCGGTTTAAATGCAGTTTTGTGGAACATTTTAACCATGACTGCATTCTTTTTTTCCAATTTGACAATTTTTATTTTGTCGAGTATAAAAGGGTAGGGGTACAGAAATTATACAGCATGTCCGTTGATGCCATCTGTAGAATAGGAGATTGTGTTGCCTATTAGAATCTAGTAAAGTTTGTTGCATTCATGATATTCCGCTTTTAGAATTCAGTGTGTCAATGTGCGAGGGGTCAATGTGTCACTTGAAGAATAGTAATGAAGAAAAAAATAAAATAAAATAAAAACGTGTATTTCATTGCTAAGTAAAATAATTGTAAGTCAGTGGTTATATTGCCATGTTCTCTATTACATTGTAATTGACAGATGCATTGAATTATATCAAATGTCCACGGAGCTCGCTGCCACTCAGCGTGGTAAATGCTGAATCTCTCTCTCTGTCGTGCTTTGATTTGTGACAGAGCCTTGGGCTCTTTACAGGGAAGCTTATCTAACAATGAAGGTGAAATCATATTCATATTTAATTGTGTTTCTTTAGTCAGAAAGAGGTGAGATAGGATTTCGACACATTCATTTTAGCCCATAGTTTGGTTTCATCAGGTGGTGTGTACAATACTAGGTTCACCTTGGAAGGTTTATATTACTGTTCTGAACACACATTCAGGTATTTGGTTAATAAATGAGTACACTGTGTACTGGGCTTAATTTGTAGTTTATTTTAACCCAGTAAGGACCAAATGCTACTCTTTGCTGTCACAATAGTATTGCCCCATAGAGTCTGGATAGTCACTAGTTTTGGTTAGAATAACCCTTTCTGAGATGGTCTGCTAATCTCACCTCCCATTGCATTGAGTCCAGGCACAGAATTGACATTAGCCAGCCCAGAACTTTATGAGATGGCTAATGATGCTGCCATAGCGAAACACTCAACATGCAGGCTCCAGGCACCATGACCACTTCAAATTAATGAAGCGGTCATGGCGTTTGGAGTAACCCTTTTAGCAGCTCTATACAGCCATACAGTAAGCAATTGAGGGGAACATTACATTTTGTAATAGTTTAAAATGAACAGATGACAACATAGTCTGCGGTTGGGTCTGAAGGGGTTAGCAGAAGAGGAGGCATGGGTTTAGTTACTGATTTCATAAAAGTCAAGCTAGCTTTTGTTGGAGTGCAGTGCCTACCATTCCAAACCAGCCAACAGCAGAACCTAAGTGTAGTAATAGTCCATCAATATGTGGATATCATCCGTCTCCTTACTCTGGATACCTGTACTAAACTTTAGGGCATCCACCGGTGCATTAATTCTGGAAAAGAAAATAAGGGCACGATTTTCTTCTTCCAAGTTTGTATGCAATTTTAATGCAAACAGGGGCACTGAGACCACGAAGGAGCAATTGCATCAACTGCAGCTGTTGGTTCTGGGATATGATTAGGGTCTAATTCAACAATAAGGAATCAAATGGCAAAATGCAAGAAGCAGGCAATTTAAGCCCTTTAATTAGCCGGCTGGTCAACTATGTAAAATCGTTTCCACCCACACTGGTGAATACGACTGATTACTAACCTTTTTCTGTCACTGACATTTCTTCTTCTTATCAGGTTAAGTACCACTTACTGATCAGCACACTCCGGACAAAAGTATAAAGGTTTGCAGACTCAAGTTTGCAAGCCCTGATATATATCATGATTTAGTACATCAATATTTGGATAAAATCTTTGCCGTGCTGTATTCACATTAATGGAGGCCCTAGAGAATTCTATTCCTCATGTACTGACTCAAATTACATGTTTGTTTTATTACCCCGTTTGTTTGGAGAAAAATCTCTTGGCTGATTGCATTGATTTCCTCTATATTATACGGAGGGCAGTAAAACACATCTTCTTGAGTCGATGCTTCCCACTTAATGCAGACATCTCACCTGCTTTCTCTGGTGAGTGCAACACAGGAGCTGTAATTCATAATGCGAGATTGCCAAACACAGCAAAATACATCTTTTATGGGCAATTATTCAGTGGATATGATACTTGGCTACAAATGCTCAGCCTCGGAAGATCTGTCAATGCAGGCTTTGTGGGCTTTGGGTTATAAAAACGAAGTATTATGTTTGCTAGGGCTTTATAGTAAATGTACATTTGCCAGTTCAGCAATTAAGGTTATTTGCCAGCCTGTTTAAGTAGAATTCACCCGCGATTTAAGGTTTTAGGCCAGGATAACCAGCTGGAATCACAGCATAGTTGGGCATATGGACAGGCAAATGGACAATCTTTAAATTTCAGCTATTTGCTGTTAAAATGTTAAATTTGCTAGACAGAAATCCAGAGCACTTTCTGGGGTTTATACACTAAAAAACAAAATGCGGTGATTTGAAATCCAAATTTCAAAATGTAAGTGAAAGTAATGATTTGGAAACATTCTCCAACTTGAAATTCACCTAATTATTTGTATTTACTTTTTATTGTTTCAGAACAGTTGTAGGTGTTTTGTGAATAAACAATAGAAGAAATGACTAATCTCCCATGTATGGGAAATATTCCCAACAGAGGTGGTCAGTATGAGTAGTACCCACCCACTCTGGGCATGAACCCTAGAAACATAACATAGAGCAGGCATAGTCAACCTTCGGCACGCCAGATGTTTTGGACTAAACCTCCCATGATGCTTTACCAGCATTATGGGTGTAAGAGCATTATGGGGGATGTAGTCCACAACATCTGGAGTGCCGAAGGTTGCCTATCCCTGACATAGAGTAAAGAAAATAAGGAATTTTCTCCTCTGAGGAATTCCTCTTGGGTACTAATAAGTAGATAGGCTGATAAAAGGTGAGTGCAACATATAACACTTAACGAGGAAGTGAACACTTAATGGTGGAGGATAAGTGTATAAATTATCCAATTGGTAAACCAGCAGGCTTTATTTGTGTTGCCTAAAATGTACTACCCATAAATGATCCTATCCATTTAATATTGTCAAATGTAAATGAGTACATCGGTTTGAAAAAATAGATTCTCAAGTAACTTAACTATGAGTCCCTATTGCTGCAGTCTAACTCCTCCAACCATCTAAGGATACTCTGTACAAATCCCCCCCATTAGCTTTTTTCCTCTTTACAAACAAACAAAAATGTGAAAAAAAATCAGTGCATAGTGCTAGGTGATGTGGAAAAAGTATCCCGACACGTGTTTCGGTGCTTAGAGAGCACCTTCGTCAGGGGTAAAAAAAACAACTTTTAGTTTAACTGGCACCCACAAAGGTGTCTTAGGCACTGTCTAGCTGAAGCTGCCGATATTCAGATACATACATGGGGAAAGCAGTATATTTGCACAGCTCACTGGAGGAGGAGGTTAGAAACCCAGTTATCTTATGAGGACAATAGCTCTTTACACATCCCAATCAGAATTGCTTTTTTGGGGGATCTGGATAAGTTTATGTATCCGATACCACTGCTGTATTTAGTCCGATATATGTGGATCACCAAATACACATATACTTTTTCATTTGTTTGCCCCAGGTATTTGGGGTTATATGCTGCTCCATTTCCAACCGCTGATCCAATTTTTGAGGATTCTAACGGTACACCCACTGATGTGGCTTCAAGCTAGTCAACAGCTTAGTTGTAATCTCCCTTATTAACCCTAGAGCACCACGGTTTATCTCTAGGTCTAATTAGACCATAAATTACTTGGGAATTTATTTTTTCAAACCGATGTACTCATTTACATTGGACAATTGAGAGACTCTAAGCTACCGACCGAAATACTACCACTATTTTAATATTAAATGGATAGGATCATTTATGGGTAGTACATTTTAGGCAACACAAATAACGCCTGCTGGTTTACCAATTGGATAATTTATACACTTATCCTCCACCATTAAGTGTTCACTTCCTCGTTAAGTGTTATATGTTGCACTCACCTTTTATCAGCCTATCTACTTATTATTACCCCAGAGGAATTTCTCAGAGGAGAAAATCCCTTTTTTTCTTTACTCTATATTTTATGAATAAACATCCACTGGGGAAGGCTAATAACCTTTGGCCTAGAGTAGCAAGTACAAATAATGATACCCTAGAACCTGTGAAGGCTACACTAGCAATCATGCAGACACAAATTAGCAAACATCCATTTCAATTCTAATTGTTATGGAGCCAGGAGGTCTTGGGTGCCATCTTACCATAAGGGTTTAAGACATTCACAACTGGTTTAACACCAAAGTTGCAAACAATGGCACCCGTCCATTCTGCCCCTCTCTTCCGGCAATGGTCCAGGGCTACGAAGAGAAACTCTCAGCCTACCACTAGCTCCCTGTTCTCAAGAGAGCTGCACCGAGGCCTATTATTCTTTATTGACCTTTTGCACCATGGCTGAAAGGAGGGGGGCCGTCTTCACTACTGTACATCAACTGTAAGAAGGTAAGATGGCACACAGGACTTCCTGGCACCATAACAACTTAATTGAGATAAAGTATAAGTCAAGTAGTTTAAATAATAGATGAAAAGAAATTAAAGAGGTAAAATGTTAAAATAAAAACTACTAAAAGCATGTGAGATTGAGCTTGACGTCATTTGGGTGCTTTAATATGACTATAAATATGAATTAATATGGCTATAAATATGCATTTCATAATTGCTGCTTTGCATATTTAATGATTAGTGTAGCAAGCTTAACACATTCTGCAGAGTGAATCGAAATAAAATGTGTAATTACTATGGCGCTTAGTGTTAAGTTCACAGAGACAGTATATAATAAGTGTTGGTTATCTTCACACTATTGTCTCACATGACATTGAATCCTGCACCCCCTTTCCATAGTTTATTTAATCCAGCTATATGGCACTTAGATTGTGCATTACCTATACTACAGCATGGATAAACATTCTAAGCAGCGGAAGTCTCTTATTTGCTAATGAAACTAATTCGAATTATTTTTTAATATGTGCAACACAGGGGGCTTTCTTTTTATATCTTTTCTATAACTTTAATTAGGATTGTTAAACAATTACATTTAATAAAGGGCACATCACATAGGTCCTTAGAAGGGGAACCATAGATTCTCAGGATATTTAATATGTGCACATGATACATATACAACTAATACATTTTTTATTTTAATATGTTTATGTGAGCTAAGTTGTGTGGTCTAAAAGTAAAACTAGATTTATAAATTCACGCTGTTGTATTTCCATCTCTCCTGGAACTGAGTGCATATATCTTGGCCCTCTGACAATCAAACTTTGCCCTTTGCATTTGTCAGCAAGTGGCAGAACTAATGTAGAGAGGGCCAGGGTATCAGGAATTGTTTGTGCCACCCCTCTAGTGCAAGGGTCGCTAAAAGGGACGTCCTCAGCTGTTGTAAATCTCACTCGATGTTTGGCAGCTAGAACACTACAATTTGCTGATCCAGACAGGGTTGTATTTGTGAGCTTATTTTTTGTGTGTGGAGTATGTGTGTGAATGTAGGGCATTACTTATGTGTAATGTTGGTGTTTTTAATGCAGTTGTGTGTTTGAGTGTAGTCTTTGCATTTGAACACAAGGGAGACTTTGTGTGTAGTGTTTGCACTTGAATGCAGTTGTGTGTTTGTGTGTAGTCTGCATTTGAACATGGGGAGACTTTGTGTGTAGTGTTTGCTCTTGAATGCATTTGTGTGTTTGTGGTGTCATTTTTGCATTTGAACACAGGGGAGGCGTTGTGTGTAGTGTTTGCTTTTGAATGCAACGGTGTCAGTGGCGGAACTATTGTAGAGAGGGCCCTGGTGCAAGAATATTTTTTGGGTCCACCTCTAGCGCAAGAGTGGCAAAAAGTTAAAACCCCATCTGTCATACAACTCCCATGGCAGCTGGGGATCTACCAGTTGCCAATCCTTCAGGGTTGTATTTATGATCAGTGTTTGATTGAAGTTTTTGTATAGAGTATGTGTGTGCATGTAGAGGTGTATTTGTATGTACTGTTACCATTGGAATTCAGTGGTGTGCTTGTGTGTAGTGTTTGCGTTTGAATGCAGGGCTGTCTTTGTATGTAGTGTTTGCTTTTAAATGCAGGTGTGCTTTTGTGTGTAGTTTTGGTGTCTGCATAGAATTTTAGCTTTTTAATAGAGGGGTGTGTTTGTATGTAATGTTTGTGTTTGAGTGCACTGGAGATTTTGGATGTAGTGTTGAGGATGTACATTTGTGTGTAGCATTGGTGTTTAAATGAAGACACACACAATGGCACATGCACACACCTTGACACAAGATAAACATACTGACAGATACACACACTGATACACACGCTGGCACATACACACACTGACACATACATGCACCATGACACACAGAATGTGTTACGTGCCTTCATCCACCTCCAGGTCCTCCACTGTCCAGCTATGGCCATCGCAACACTGACCAACACATACTGACAGACACACACACTCACTCTCTGACAGACACAATCACTCACTCTATGACAGACACACACTCACTGATAGATAGACACACACACACTCACTCTCTGACAGACACACAGACACACACTCCCTGATAGTCACACACACTCACTCACTCTCTGACAGACATTCACTCTCTGACAGACACACACACACTGAAAGTCACACACTCGCTCTCTGACAGACACACACTCGCTCTCTGACAGACACATACAAAGATATTCTTTGTGGGCTGGGAGTTTGACATGCTTGTTGTAAGATTTAAAACAATATTTTTTTTTTGTGTGCGGTTGTGGGGCTTCTGTTCTTGACCCGGGGAAACTTTTCTTTTACTGCAGCTATTCTCCTTATTCAGACCGGATTGTGTCAGTTTCAGCTTAATTATACTTGAAAAGATAGCATAGTACATTAACCATGTTAGCTGTGTTTCTTAATCTGGATGTGTATATATTGGTCTTTACAGTAACACCACTGCTGAGAAATGTCCGTGCCACATGTGCCCCCCAATTTATACAACTGGGGGTTTATTCATCTGGTATCCAAATTTAAGACAAAAGGAACCAAGTTGAGAAAAAAAAATGTGTTGTAAATTTTGTGAACAAACCTGCGTCTTTAAAGTCTACACAAAGGGAGTAATTCAGCTCTAGGTAATGGACCAGATAGATAGAAGACAACTCAACTGAACAAAATCCAGCGTCTCTGTTGGTCGATATTCAAATATAAGTTTGCATCTTAGTCAGATCCTAAATTTCTATTCAAATATACATGCCCAATGCATTTCGCCACTCCCCTTGACATGCATGCTGGGGGACGCATTTTTTTCTTAATGTCTAGATGTTTGTGACGGAGAGTTGAAACTTCCTTTTTCTTAACTCACTAAATACCAGAGAGGTGTGCAACCTTTGAAGATTTTATTATCCATTCTTCTATTTTTGTAGATGTACATAATTAATGGACTACTGGAGTGATGTAGGTGGGAGTCAGGACAATATATTTCTCTACAGAGTTCGCTGTTGCATGTTAAACTGCCCCAGGCTAGTTTGACTAAATTGAGAATTTCAAAAGGTGTGTGTGATCAATACATCATATGCTGGACTGTGAATAGCAAATCAGAACCTCGGGGACCATTTAATTGGCTGTTATTTGAAGATATACCTTCTTGAGAAATGCAAAGCTCATTTTTATGGCACGATAAGATTACTTTGACACCAGAAAGAAAGCTGGATAACGAGCAATGGAAAAAAGTAAAAGTTAGAAACTGAAATCAAAATTAGTTATGGATAACCATTGGAACTCCACAAGTTATAAGTGGGTGACCTTTCATTTTAAGCCAGTTGAATGAAATGCCAAAAGGTATGTAATCAGTGATTTTATATATATATACACACACACTGTCTGTCCGGAAAATATATATATACAGTGGGACCTCGGTTTACAAATTTAATGCGTTCTCCGGGACGATTCTTATTGCAAAACATTTGTAAACCGAAACGCAGTTTCCTATAGGAATGCATTGAAAACCAATTAATCCAAAATAAGTCAAAATGAGCTGGTATAGAAACCAACCCACGATGCAGAACACACAATAAAAGGCATGCAGTTCCACTGCTCGAGAAATGCACCAAAAAGACCCAAGACAACTGCAAACAATTTCCAGAATGGCTCCAAAACTCGATGAAAAAACGGTCCAACACCTCCACACTTGATGCCACGTGCTACCCACAGGCTCCAGCATGCAGGGGGCGGTGCTATAAACCTCCCAGGTGCAATGCATCCTGGGGAAACTTGCTTTGTATTGCGAAAATAAATTGTAAACCTAGGCATGATTTTCAATGGATTTACATTTGTAAACTGAGGCGTTTGTAAACCGAGGTCTCACAGTATATAATAACTGCAGCTCCTTGATAGCCACACAATGCAATCCCAATACACATACACTCACAATGCAGCCCCTAGATGCACGTGCTCACAGTACAGCCCCTAGTACACATAGTACACCATAAACAGACTCATATATACACCTTTCACCACAGCCCTTTCTAAACACCATGGGATATTATCTTGAATCTCCTGAAAAGGTTTTCCAGTTTCCGTGAAAAGGTGTCTTGCCTGTAATAAGTAAGGCGCAGCAGTGGAACTACAGGCAGTGCTGGTGTTGCGCTTACACCGGGGCCCATCGAGTGGCTCATTCAATTAGGGCCACCCAATGGGCATGTGTCTTCAGGGGCCCAAAACAGTTTTTGCAGCAGGGCCCCACTCTGACACATACTGACTGAGAGACACACATAGTTTCTCACACATTTTTATTTTTATTTTAATCCACCCAGCCTTTGGGAGAGCTGAGTGGATCTTTCCCTGGCATCCAGTGTGTCTCCTCTCAATCTTCCTGCAGTTTCTCTCTGGTCCCCTGCCCGCTCTCTGAAGTGATGCCGGGGCCGGAGTGACGCCATGTCACTAAACAGTGCACAAGGGAGCAAAGAGGAACTGTAGGAAGGTTACTGCTCCCTCGCGCGCCTCCTCCGTGCTCACCGCAGCGGCCTGGCTTTAATGTTTCCTGTCGGCTTAGCAAAGAGCTGACAAATGCCAGGCGCCAAGGTGCAATGTCTAGTCACCATGACGACCTGGCGCCTGGTGTTTGTCGAGCCCTGTGTATGTATGTATATATATATATATATATATATATATATATACACACACACACACACATACACATTTTATAAATGCCCCTCTACTTTTTCTAAGTATGAATCCTGGAGACGCCACTGAACATGAACCATTTAAATATTACAGAGATGCTCCATGCTTGTGTTTACCTAATATATAGATGATGCATTAAAATGAAGAGAAAATCAATAACAAAGAATAAAAGACCTAAAAGTAACAAATAATAAACTGCAAACTGTAGACAATGTAACTAACGGTAAAAAGGTGAGAAGAAGAATAGAAATAACAGGATAAGGTTAAAAAAACTAGATAAAACCAAAACGAGGAGGGTAATGATAAGTAAGGAATCATGGCACTGCGCACAAGCCCCCACTCTCCACAGGGGGGATAGTAGCAGAGGTACTGGCGTCAAGGAACACCTAGGATTACTGGCCATCTTCCACCATGACAGCTTCACGTTGTTATGACATTTAATCCAGACAGGATTACTATACTTGTATCTTCATCGGATTGTCGACAGACGCAAGCAAGGCCTCTAAAGCTTTAATCACTTCCACTTTAGAGAACGTTGAAAGGGTGGTATCACTGGCAATTCCCAAAAGAGTGGTATGAGGGAGTTGGAAGCATTTAGTTAAAAACAGAGAATTGATTTTTCTTTTCTGATGAAGTGCCCTTTTAACATGGATAGAAATAACATGTTATTAAAGACAATTGAAGGGTATGAAAATAGGACAAAGAGTAGGCATTAGACTACTGGAAAGGGTGTGCCAGTGAAGTAATAAGTGTTCCAGGTGATGAGGTGAGGACAGCGCCTACTGAAAAGTAGAGAGTATTCCCCCTCCTCTTAAATATTATCATTGGGGCCAGCACCTGCTGACCACGGGTGTGAGCAGGGGAAAATATTACGATATTTCTCCCCTTTTATTTTATTAAATAGGGAGTCCACACTGCATTATTAATTTTAAGGCCCCCCATGTTATTTAACAGGCTCCATCCCCATTGGATACCGCCTTTCTAGCTATGGCAGCCCAATCGCTAGTTTTAAACATTAAGCTGGGTGCTGCCAGCAGGCAAATAGTTGAGATTTTTTTCAAATCCGGGCCCAGATTTGAAGCGTTTGGGTCTGGATTTAAGCTCTGGTAGTGTTCGTACATTGTTAAATAGCATTTCTGGATTTGCAGTCCCAATAGATCCATATGAAGCAGCATTTTGCCCCACACGATTCAGTGAATGACGGGATTGTGCAAAGACACACTGTACTGCTGGAGCCCAATTAGGAATCTCCGCCTGCCAGTTTAGCAGATGATCAAGTATTGATACCCTGAAATCAAGCTTAGTTTGCCTTTATTATAACTGTCCACAGTGCTGACTTGCCAATGTTTCAACTCTTTTGGGTCATTATTGTGTGTGTCCCTACTCTAAGTACTATCATCCTAGGATTAGTGACTCCTATATTACCCTGTGCACCAGGCCTTAGGCAAACCCAGTGCAGGTACCAATGTATAGTAATGCATATATAAATATATATACTAGAGTGAAATTATGTAATACACATTTATAACTTGACAAACAAATCATATTCACCATTGTTTTGCACAGTTGTGTGGTAAATCTAACAAGTGACACATACTGTGCAGGCTAATTATATGGTCTAAGGTTATTTCTGGGGATGTTATTTAATTTTCATTTCTCCTATCCATTTACTTTATCTTTCCCTACCTTCTGGACACACATGGCTCAAAAGAGTTGAAACGTTGGCAAGCCATCTTTGTGGGCAATTATAATAAAGATGTACTAAAGCTATTGACAGGGCATCAGACTTTTATCATCTGTTTAACCGGCAGCTGGAGGTGGAGATTCGTAATAGGTAGGGAAGTGTGTCTCTGCACACTTGCCTCACCATAGTCCAGCAGGGCGTTGTCCCAGGGACACTGCCAGACCAGTTTAAACTAGCTAACCTGTCCCTCCTCAATCTCCCATCAGCATTTGCTATTGTCTGACCTCACCCTTCCTTGTACTATAGTACTCTCTGCACCCTATTGTATTTAATTGAGGCTGTTGGGGGCTTAAAATATGTGTGCTATGTCTTTTAAAGTTAGTTGTTGTTTTAACCTTCACCAAGTGTCATCTGGTACATTGGTACAAGGTGGAAAAGGCCCTCAGTGATCCCAGTCAAGCCTCGGCGACTAGGTCTGAAGTGCTCCAGGGTCCCTGATAGCTTCAAGGAAGCAGACTTGGCGGATGTACTCGGTCGGAGTACTGGAACGGCGCTATATTTGGTGGCAAGTGGTGGGACGGCTTACTAGCAAGTGGGGAAACATCCTTCGGACAGCAGAGTATCTTATGGCATCCTGGCAAGAGGGATAGTGCTAGCATCCGTGCAGCATCCCTGTCTGGAGAGGAACCCATTGTAAAGCGCGGCGGAATTTGACGGCGCTCTATAAATATCATCATAATAATAAGGATGGAGCAAGCTAGCCCCCGGGCAGCGTGAATTTTAGCGGAATTTTGGTCCACTAAATGACATTAGATGTATCCAAAGTCTGGCTTTATAGACACACCTATAGGAGAACATTTATTCATACATTCCCTATGGGAAAGTCCAAATGTGATTGTGGTGCTCGCATGCCCATTAGATTCAACAATCGCTGGCAGCGGAGGTCAGCAATGGGGTAAGTGATGAAAGGGTTTTTTAACACTTTCAACTCCGGGTAGGGGGGGAACAAGAGAGGTGGGGGCAGAGGGTACTAAAATGCTAGGAATACAACTTTGTATTCCTAGCACTATAAATATGCAAAACCGCAATAATGAGGAAATTGCATATTTATAACTATTTTCAAGTATCTAAGCTGAATAGTGAGCAGGCCACTAAAAACCGCACTGGGGTATTTTGTTTTTAGTTGTCTTGGCTCTTTATTCATTTAATTTTTTTCCGAAACTGTAAGGTATCTCAATGCACAGCTCCTCTTCATACTGCACGCCATCCGTGCAGGAGAATTTCCCATCCTTTATTTTGTTTTCATTTTTGGGCACACTGCCAGTTTTCTATATAATAGTTTGGCAACCGGAGTGAAATCTTAAATTAGGGGAGGTTGACTGTTTGCTGTTGGAAGGTGGTGATTGATAAAACATATTACTGCAGTATAGTGGTCCTGCCATCACAGCTGGTTTCCCTAAAGGAAAGCCAGTCTGTTTTTGTCTGAGACAGAAGAATTGCCTGAAAAGTGACACTGCAATCATTGGTGTGAAAAAAAAAAAAAAATCTCTACGAGGATATATAAAATGATCATAAAGCTGTCCCCACATATCACGTCTGCCTCCCACGCTTTTGTGGAACACATTTTCCAGCTGAGTTCCTTATCTCTTCTTAATGTTATGCATATTTTTATTTTGTGTCCTTTTCTGTGTCATTTCTGTTATTTGCAAGCAGTTTATGGGACTATGCAATGTGGTTTGTTTGTTTTTTTTTGCTCCCAGGAGAGACGTGTAATGAGTAATCGAGTTTTCTATGGCTCTTTCATCCAATTCAACATATGGTTTGTTGTCAAATAATAGATGCCACTCATTCTGAAACAGTCATATAAATATTCCGAGCTATTTTTGATTCTGCGTCCGTTTGTTACACCAAGTCAAATTTCACTCCATGCTCCACTTGCAATAACAAGAACATCTGTCTCTGAACTCGCGCATCAAACAGTGTTTAACTGCTTGTATGCATTTACACATTAAGTGGTTATATAAAGAAAAGAGACGGTGAACAGGATTTAGAGAAGAATATGTCAGAGGGATTGTGATCTTCGGCTGGAAACTGCAAGGCTTGAGGGTAATGATGTTCTATAAAATGGTATTAGCAGTGGTGCAATTCAATGTGGTGGGGTGCCAGGATTACACCCACGGATTTGACACCAACCCCTCTCTAGAAGCCCAGCCTCTTCATCATATAAAATATTAACACAGCTGTCAATTTTTTTTTTTTTTTAATCTTCATTTCATAGGTTTAACCCTTGAAGGGCTAGAGATATTGACAGCACACTGCAAAGTATTGTGAGTGGCATTGAAAGTGTTAAAAACATACACCTGTGTATTACTCAGTGTACGGGGACATTTTCTGTGTAAAATCTTCTACTGGGTACCAATAATTTAGGTCCTTTACTAGGTTAGGTTTTAACTTACCTGGAATCTAGCGCCAGGTGAACTCCCGGCACTGACTTCCACACCCCTTCCATTGCACGGTCCAATCACGGGCTTCTCATAGAGAAGTCCGTGATTGGACCGTTTTACCAGCTCGGAGCACAAGTGCAGAATGCGAGCCATTGAAGAGAGGGGGAGAAATTTATAAAATCTTTTTTTTTTAAAGTTAAATTTTATTGGGAGGTGGGGAAGGAAGAAAAATGCTTGTCCGCAATGTCCGTTTCCAGCATACTGTACACACTGATGACAGGCATATTTTATGCACAGAATTGATATTAGAGTGTGACGGAGGTGCAACCCGGTAGCCCCCGGTACAAGTGCAGATTATTCCGTATGCGCAGTGTTTCAAGCTGAAACACTCGAAATACATATTCCTACCACCATGACCACTTCAAATCAGTAAAGTTGTCATGGTGGTTTGACTACTTACATAGGGTCTGCCTGGTGCCGGCTACTTTCTCTCTGGAGAGGCTAATACTAGGGATCTTTGTTCGCTCTCCTGAGCTCAGAGCTAGATTTGGACTGACCATGGCTCTAGACAGGGTGCCAGATTGGGATCCCTTCATGCGCCCGGGGTCTGTGAGTGTTGTGTATATGCGTGGAAGAGACTGAATGTTGTGTGTAAGAGTGCATGTTGTTGTATATGTGGAGGAAACGGAGAGCTGTATGTGGTGAGGAGGCTGAGTGTACCTTTGTGTGTTGGTTGCATTTTGTATGAATTTGTATGTGAAGTGCCTGAATGTGTGGTTCAGTGTTTTATGTGTGTGTGTAAATTTTTATTTTGATCCTTTCCTGATTACCTTTTGACAGGAGGAAATGCTATCCCAGTGGAAGTATGCTACGGGGCTGGATCTCTGGTGGTCCGGTGTTGGACCATTGTGGTCTGCACCAGTCATGGGTGCAAATCACTTTAAGAACTGCTTTATGGTCTAAGTGTTCTGTCACTTTAAATGGGAAGCATTGGGGGATTGCAAGGGAACCTTTAAAGTGATCTGCACCCAATATTGGTGCAGTCTACTCTAGTCCACCACTGGACAACCAGGCATGCAGGTGTCCAGAATGCCTCCACTGGATCAATAAATATTTTAATGCCCCCCTTATCTTTTGTGATGATGAGGGCCAATTAATGTCCACAAAGACACAACAGTGAACCACATTCAGACTCTCTTTCAAACACACAAACACACACACACACACACACACACACAAAATTCAACCAGAACACAAAGCTCCCTCAACAAACTGAGGACACAGGGCTGAGCAGGGAGATCTTTTTAATATTCTCAGCCATGGTTGGCTCAGTGAAGAAGGCGCCAGCAGACCCTAAATAGGAAGTCAAACTCTAAGCAAACTGGTAGGCTACTAACATTGGTGGAGGTGCTGAGGCACTCCTGGTACCATAGCCAATATAACTCTGTTTCCTATGCTCCCTTAACTAAGTCCTAGTTCCTAACGCACAGAGTGAGAGTTTCTAATGATGCACTTGCGCTATACTGCTTGGGGACAGTTCCCTGGAATCCCCAGATCTGGGACACCAGGGAACAAACTCAGGGCAGGAGGACAGGACCCTAAAATAGGGACTATCCTGTACATTATAATCGTTATTGCCTATTGTGAATGCATTAGAGGACTTACTGTTGCTGGTAACATTTGATTGTATGACCTCTATGCTGATGGAGAGAAGTATATTATGGTCTTGTCTTGCCTCACTTCTTCTATCTTTCTTGTTGTACAGCCATTTTGCCTTTGAGCTAATTATGTACGTGCACATAATCCTGACTTCTAAATGTTACTGATATGCTAATACAACTCTGCTAAATTTCAACATTTGGGTTATCGGCCCAGAGTAGAAGCTACAAGCATGACCACATATAAATATATTGTGAATGTTATAGGAGTTTCTGACCTCACTTTTACAAATTACCTTGTATTGAAGTTCAGCATGCAGAATGACGCCATGATAAAGGATCTCTGGGTCACAGTGGAAGAATCCTCACCAGCATGTGTAAGAGAAAAAGGACACAATTACAAGCAATGAGATCTCCACTTACTGTGTGACAAGTAACAATGATTTAAGCCACATTAACTTTAGGACAGCCAATGAGGTATGAGAAGGCTTCCAATAATAAATGTTCCAGTCTAAATTAAAGGACCACTATAGTGCCAGGAAAACATACTCGTGCCCCCACCCACCGGGCTCTGGGGAGAGGAAAGGGGTTAAACTTACCTTTTTCTCCAGCGCCGGGCGGGGAGCTCTCCTCCTCTTCGGCTGAATGCGCATGCACGGCAGGAGCTGCGTGCGCATTCAGCCGGTCTCATAGGAAAGCATTTACAATGCTTTCCTATGGACGCTGGCGTCTTCTCACTGATTTTCACAGTGAGAAGCACGCAAACGCCTCTAGCGGCTGTAAATGAGAGGCTGGATTAACCCTATTATAAACATAGCAGTTTCTCTGAAACTGCTATGTTTATAAAAAAAAAAAAGGGTTAATCCTAGAGGGACCTGGCACCCAGACCACTTCATTAAGCTGAAGTGGTCTGGGTGCCTAGAGTGGTCTTTTAAAGACTTTATTTATCAAGAAAGCAATTCAATATGAAGCTGTCTCTGGGAGGAGGCCCAGAGAAACATCTGAATCAAATGTCAGAGTTAATTGATCTAAATTATTTTGGAAAGAAAACTAAAGAAGGCAAAGTGATTCTGATTTTATTAAGTCTTCCAGAGAGCTGTGATTCATTAATTCATGCACTAGAAATGAGAGAATCTCTCTGTAAAATGTTATAATAAGCTTGAAAGAAGAGTCAGTAAGGTGGCTGAAAATGCAGTGGTGAATCACAAGACTTTGCAATACAAAACACTGAGAAGCATATCATGGGAAACTAGTCAGCTCATCACAACAGCCAAGGAAACAGATTTACACCCAAAAAGGGCAAAAATAATGAATGTTTTATTTGTGGAGATAAATTTCATCTTGCTAGAAACTGCTTAAAAAGGGCTACCGTAGACCAGAACAAGCCTGTTCGTGGCAAAAGACAACACAGTAAACATCTATAACAAACCGTTTTTGTTCAAGAAATGGTAGATACGTTTATCTAACATTAATGCATTATTGAGCCAGCTGCGACATCGCGCATGTGCAAAGATTTTCTTCAAAAGTTAGACAATTTGACAGAGCTTAAAGAGAAGGGGAAAGCCGAATAATGCATACCATTGCTATTTAATTGCTCCTAAATATATTGCACAAGGAGGCATTGTGTCTGTATTTACACTATTGTGGAACCACCAGGAGGAATCTGTGATTATAGTGTTTGATCCAGGAGACAATATTCATCTTATGTTATACCGGTAGTTTTCATTTTTTTTAATCCTATATATTGGTTTTGATTGTGCTGGCATTTACTTTTAAACTTTGTTTTGGAGGATATCTATTTAATGCCAATGGTATTTCTCTTACGTTATAGTAGTTATCTTGTAAGTTCTTACTTACTAGAGCATTATCCTCTAAATTGTGCTATCTCTATTCTATGTTCAATAGCAGAGATAAAATGCAAAATGTAATTTACTTACTTGAAATCAGGATTGCCATCAGGGGTGCAGTCGAATGAGCACATACACACACACACACACACACTTGCTCTTTTATTTGCTATACTCTCTGGAGGAGAGCTCTAACCCAGGGCTTGGGTCCAGGGTGGGAAGAGGCGGCGAGACCCCAGCAAAGCTGCGGCAGCTAGAGGCTGGAAGTGCTTATGGTGTCCTGGCAAAGTGCTTGTGGTACTCGGTGATAACTAGGACGTGTGATTGGCGGACGTACCCAGTCAAGGTACCAGGCGGTCCACCACACTGGACATGATAAAAAGGGTGTCAGAATAGACAGTGCATTGCAGTTTGCTGTGTACCCTCAGACTGGTCAGAGTGCCCATGATTACCCCTCTTCACCATTGAAAACTGTGAGCGTCAGAACGGGACCATGGAGCAGCTTAAAAAGGTTGCCTGACTTGATCAGGGTTCCTTTAGAAAAGGCAGGGTGCTATTTTTGCCTTCTTCCCATAGTGCATCTTGCTGCCATCTCTTCCCGAGGTAAACAACGCACACACACCCGGCCTTCCAAATTTTTCTAAAAGAAAACATGATCAGACCAGGCAAACCATTGCTCTATGGTCCAGTTCTGATGCTCAGTGGGCAGTGGTCATCATGGGCACTCTGACTGGTCTGCGGCTTCACAGCCCCATATGCAACAAACTGCAATTCACTATCTATTCTAAAAACCTTACTATCATGAAGTTTTTCACCAATTTGAGATGCAGTAGTTCTTCTGTGTAATCAGACCACATGGGTTAGCCTTTGCTCACTATGTACATCAATGAGTCTTGTGTACCCATTACTCTGATGCCAGTTCACTGGATGTCCTTCCTTTTTTTGGTAGGTACTAAACACAATGCATACCAGGAATACCCAACAAGACTTGCCATTTTGGAGATGCTCTCACCCAGTCGTCTAGCCATCACTATTTGACCCTTGTCAAAGTCACTCAGATCCTTTCGCTTGCCCATTTTTCCTGCTTCCAACACATGAAATTCAAGAACTGACTGTTCACTTGCTGCCTAATATATCCCACCCCTTGACAGGTGCCATTGTAACTATATAACCAATGGCATTCACTTCACCTGTCAGTGTTTTAATGTTGTTTAATGTAGATCAGTGTAGTTTGTCTACAATTTGTAATTTTCTTGTTTGATTCCAACAGTTCTTGATTTGACAAAAAAACTGAAATACAGAATATAATCTGGAAGAATAGAAATATGCGATACTCACAATTTTCATTCATAATACCGCAAATTCCAGAGAAACTGCAATGTTTACATTGCAGCACTAAATCTACAGCCACTGGAGGTGCTTCCTGGATCCTAACGGACTTTTGGTTTGGTAACTGACACTCTGCATGAGAATATCTCATTCAATGCTTTCCTATAAGGATGCTTAATCTGTGCACGGCACCCGCTGCGTATGCGCATTAGCCCTCGAGGGACATCGGAGGAGGTGGAAGCAATCCAGCGTTGAGAGACATCGACACTGAGATCAGGTAAGTAAATTATTAACCCTTTATTTATCACCGGGGGGAGAAGGGGTGCAAGCGAGGGAAGGGGGAAATAGAGGGAGCGAGAGTGCCAGGAATATAGCTTTGTATTTCTAGCACTATAGTATCCTTTTAAAAAGTGAGCTTGCACAATCCCTTATCATTAAGCTGCGGAACATTTCAAATAAACACAAGTAAAAAATAAAATACAATATACCAAAAGCAATAAGGAAAATGTAAAAGGAATGCAAGAAACCGCGACTGATCATATTTATTCTCTTTCTTAATTTATTTTGTATTTTTTTTTTTTATATATTTTTTGTATCCTCACGTTACAATGCATGAGTCAAATGCAAGTTAAGAAAAGCATTGTCACGGGTGGCGGTACGGAAACCGGGACCCCTGAGTGCCTGATGAGAAGTTGGGAGTCTTCAGCGTGGAAGTGGATTATCAGGGCCTGGTGCAGGGTAACCACACACACCCTGGTGTTGAGCACCAGCGTTTGTGCGGTCACATACCAGGTCCGTGATATAGCTACTGCGGATCCCAAGAGCTAGGAGATATGCAGCCCTCCCAGGAGCTGAATAGGGAGATTCTGCAGCAGGAACCAGGAGTTTGGATATAAGCAAACCTCCCAGGAGCTGAATAGGGAGGCTCTGCAGCAGGAATGTATCCAGTACAGAAACAAGGCAAGACTAGAACAGACACCAAACAAGACAAAACTAGTAGAACCCAGAACCAGAGAAGGATAGAAAGTTAAACCCAGAACATGTACACAAGACATAAGGGAAACTTTAACATAACATGGGCAGGACAAGACTGTGCATGGACTGGGAATAAAAATAAAAACAAGACAAAATATAATAGACAAAACAAGAGGAGACATAACTAAGTACTATATATGAAAACTATGGGGATTTAGTTACATTATATGATCATACATTGCAAAGGCCTGCCACAACGCCAGTGTACCCCATATTTGGCAGCTCCTACTCTGCCTAATGTTCACTAAAAGAACCATAATAAAACACATATAGCACTTACCTGCAAGAAAGAGCAGAGGACATAAAACCACTGCTGCAGGTCCAGACTGAAACAAAAGGAATCATGGAAAAGGAACGGGTGTGGCAACATAAAACAAACATTTAAATGAATCCAGGAGACTGGGAATTCCAGGGACGGAATACAGGAATGAAGCCAGAAGTCCCAGCATAAAGAAAACCAGAGATGGAATAGAAAACCAGAAAAACAAAGAAAAAACAAACAAGAATTGCAAAAAGAGTACTGGATACCAGAAGCCAAGGCCAGACATCTCCGCAGAACATGGCATGATGTGACATGCATACAATCATAAAATGTAGGTAATGTATAGAAGTAGAAAGTATCAATGCAACGTGAGAGGTTTTATAATTCTAAACAGCACGATATGTAAGAAATGAAACAGATTTATATAATATGAGCAATGGAGCAGCTGGTAAGTTAGCATTATGTAGGCAGCACAATTTAAAAAAACAGAAAGACGTGATAAAGGACTGTTTAGACAACCATAGAAGATGACCAATTCCCCAGGTAGATAAACGGCAGTCCATTGACTTTATGATGTTCAGCCAATTCCATGATTAGGAAATAAGCAGTCATCCAGCCTCTGGATCCATTCAGGCAAGCCATGGTTTCCATGAGTGCTGGAGGCTGCTTCACTTTGTTTCCATTATGTAAGGCTTAAAGGGACACTATAGTCACCTGAACAACTACAGCTTAATGTAGTTGTTCAGGTGAGATCTATAGCTCCCTGCAGGCAATCTAATATAAACACTGTATTTTCAGGGAAAATACAGTGTTTACATTGGTTGATAGGAATACCTCCCGTGGCCATCACTCAGACGGCCACCAGAGGTACTTCCTATCATGTAGGGCCCTAAAAAGGCCTTGTACACATCAGACGTATTAAAATACATCTGACTTGTGCAGGAGAGAGAAGGCACTGTGTGCCCGCCTTCTCTCTCCTGTCTGTCAGCAGAGGAGAGGGGTCGGGCAAAGGCCGCGAGCTGAGATGTCAGCTCAGCTTGCGGCTGCGCACACCGCGCACATGCGCGGTAGTGCACTCAGGACTTCATAGGGTGGCATGAATGCCGCCCTATGAAGTATGTGCGCATGTGCGGCGAAGCCGCGCATGCGCACAAGGGAGCCATGACGCTTTCAAATGGAAGCGTCTGATTGCTCCCTGCTCGCGCCCACCTATTTCGTCATTTTGAGGAAATAGGGGGCGCGGCTTCACAAGGCTCCCGGCACTGGAACCAGGTGAGCAAAATCCTCTGCCTGGAGAGTCCCTTTAACCGATACCAATAGCGTGCAGGCTGGAGGACGTCTGCGCCCATTGCACCATGCCTGGGGGACGGTAGGTAATATTCTGGCAGGTATATGCGGAGACCCCCGCATAGGTAAGTGAGGAGGAACTGAACTGTGGCAGTTGTATGAGCCAGGGATCGGGCCTCATAGTTGGTATACCCTGTGGAAAGGCATAGAGGCATTGCAATCCCAGTTTGTTGGCTTAATTTAGCGCACAATTTGTTGCGTAGGAAATCTAATGAGCTAAGAGAAGCTACTATACTTGTTTATATGTGTGAAATCCTGCAAGGGCTCAGCAGCCATCTTGAGTTTGTAGGCACGCTGGAGGTGTCAGTCAATGGAAAGGCTCTAGGGAAGACTGCAAAGTCTTCCACCGGTCCAAAAGGAGGCAAGGTGAATGGCAGCAGAATTTCTCATAGGACAACTGGTATGCTGCAGTCAGGTAAAAGAGGCTGCGGGCGGCCACCCTACTCTCTGCTTATGTAAGCCTCGATTGAGAAGGCTACAGTTGTCTCACATAGTAGCCAGAGTCCGAGGGATCAAGTTCAGATGAGATACCAGCACACCAATATGCTAAGGACCCCAGCACACTGGTACAGGGTGAGCATTTTTGCTGTAATTTTAGCAAAAAGATCAAAAAGCAGAAGCACTCCTCTGTAAGGTGACCAGTCAGCATGGCAGACAGGCTTCCCCCCATCCATTACCATTTGGTTTCTGTGTTTCGATTAAGGCATACTTGACTGTCTTCAGCAGATCGTCACATTATGTTCAACAGATCATTGCTGTAAGCCTGGCAGCTACGCTACTTCTCTCCCATTAAAAAAAGCACATGCATAAATGATTTTACTTGCTTTCTATATTCTTACAACATTTGTAGGTATTTCATAATCTGCATCTGACAGAAGGCATTAGATCCACATTTTAAGAATGGGCATAGTGGCAATAATAAATTGGCAGGCAGATGTTTGTGTAATAAAAGGGATTAGAACAACAATCTGTGTCTGCTATTAAATACATTTTCATTTCTTTGTATCAAAGCATCTCAAAACTCAGAATTCAGGAAGTTTGGGCCATGTCTCCTAAAGATGTAACTGTTGGTATCTTTTTTTGTTTTTTCTTCTATCCTTTATTATTGAGGATTTATGAGAATCAATAAAGTAAGTTACAGAAATGAGGGGGGAAAGGTAAATGTACATATGTTATCAAATCTGATGTTCAAATGTTACAATGAAATATAGAGAGAATACTAGAACCATACAAAGACATAGGTGTCCTATTGTAGTTCCATCTCAGGTAGTACGGAGTAGATGCTATGAGAATGAGTAGGGAGAAGGAAGATGGACAGAGCAGAAGGGGGTGGGGGTTTGAGGAAAATAAAATAAAAAAAATGGAGGGAGGGAAATTTTCAAAAACAAGTATGACTCCACTCCAGGGGAAATCCAGGCCCTCTGAGGATTATTCAGCCCAGATGCTCCCTCCAGGACATAAAGTTTAGCCAGAGAAGCCAGGTTACATTTATGAGCCCTATCATATAGACTTCCATTTGCCTAATCTCCTCAACCTTGGCTATCCATCGATGAAGTGTTGGACCTCACCGCTTTCAGAAGACAGGGGTCGTAGGTGTCGTCTTTGAACAATCTATAGTATACATGTTTCTTTTTTTGTTCCTAAATGATATTTCTTGCTTCTTAAGTAAGCGTGTGCACACACAAAAAATCATTAATATATATAATTCCCACCCCCAATATAATAATAAACACTTAACTGGTTTGGGAATATATAACAGCTTCCCCCAAACTATAAAATCTGATTAAATGAATGGTAAAAAAAAAACTTGAAAGTGCCTTATGAAGATAAATATCAGTAATATCTCCTATGTTAAAAAGAGATTAAGATTTGTATATCCGCATTTCATATGCTGCTGTATAAAAAATATTAACCAATGAAAATGTAGTGTTTACTATTAAAATATATTACTGTATAAGTACTATATATAATATGTATTGTAACATATAGTGAAATATCAATGTGTTAATGTGAAAATAAAAGTTAAGAACACCTTCAAATATAATCTAAATGTTTCTAGCCAGATGGCAACAGCAGAACGAGCCACAGAAAGAGCTGATACTTCAAACCATGGCTAAGGGGCATAGCACATAGCCAAATAACAAGGATAAGAAGAAATTGTACTAAAATAGATGGTTTTTGAATTCCAAGCAGAATATAACAAAAACTAAATTGGTGAATAAACAGTATAAGAAAACAATACAGAAAGATAACTAACATAAAAAGAGAGAGACAGAACAAAGATTTTTTATCTGCCTCCGATAATTTAAGGAAGGGCAAAACATATAAAAAAATATGTTGTCATCCAGTTATGAGTGGAGAAAAAGCAGTATGAAAGAAAACAATGCAGGATTTAAGTTTCTAAATTGTAAGTCCTGCAAATCTAATAAAACAGGTAATAGAAAAATAAAAAAGTTTAAAAACAACTGCACACAGGAAGAGTTTCTAATACGTTCCTGGATGGACTGCGGCACAGATATTGTGGTGTAGTTACTGCAGTGCCCGTGTGTCGAGTAGTACTTGGGCCGAACAAAAAGGAAACTCGAAGATAGAATTTTGGAGCATTAGAATAATAAAAACAATTTCCAAGACCACTCATTCTTAATACATTGTAACAAATGTCCAACATTTAATTGGCACGAGGGGACGTTTCTAGTGATAGAGAACGTAAAACCACATTGGTAAGAGGGAGACAGAACAAACAAATTATCACAAAAGGAAACTTATTGGATTCATAAATTAAACACCCTGGAGCCAAAAGGGTTATGTAATTGACCGTTTTGTACACAAGAGGTTAAAAACCGTTTAGTCGATATTCCACTTTTCAGATGCACAGACATCTACTGCAATCACCAATCTCCCGAACTGCAAACACATGAATTCACCAATCTCCCGAACTGCAAACACATGAATTCACCAATCTCCCGAACTGGAACCCGGGGAATGCTCCAAACTCCCGAACAGGAAACACACGAATGCTGTAAACAGCTGAACAGGAAAAGCATGCAATCAGCTTGCACTCCTGGCAGTCGCACTGTACCAGCATACAATCCAATTCCCCCCAAGAACAAGACAAAACTTCGTTTGAGGATCAAGCAGAACTGATTTACTGGGGCTACCTGCCCGGCTTTTATGCAGGTCTCCCACCTGGTGGACACTCCCCTAGGGGACCAGATGGAAGACTGGGAAACATATTGGACATTGACCAATCACAAGCTTACAATTCCACAATGCATCACAATCCCTCCTCTCTGTCCTGGAGATAATTGGGAAGTAATCCAATTATCTCCAAGGACAGAGGCAAAACTCCATTAACCACATGGTAGACAAAGGACAATAAAAGACATAAAATTACATACTGTTACATTCATCAAATAGAACATACACATTCTACCTATCCCCAGGTAGCTTAGATCTGAGCGCACATTATTACCGGATGGCGCTCAGATCACATGCATACAGTTTAATCGCCAAGGAGCCAAAGTCTTTCCCATAGTCTTTCAGTATACGAATGGGCTCCATGGCATAGCTATCTGGGGTATCACCGTTCACATAGGGAGAATAAAAGGTTTTTAATGCAGGGCCATAGTCCAGCGGCAAGAGGTGGGCAACCAGGCTCCGCCAGTGGCGAGGTTGGTTCCGCCACAGGTTGCATGTAAATATCAATCATATGTGTTATATGAGATGATAAAAACATAATACTAGACAAGTGTGCGAAGGGTTTAAGTAGTGGCATTAACCCCCAATGTTCAGAGAGAGAGAGAAAACCAAACTTTTATTTGCACATTATTGTAAATTAACACATTAATAGTTCATTACAGGTTACAATACTTATTATACATAGTACTTATATACAGAAATATATTTTGTTATGACACTTAGACATTGTGTCCTAATAAAAATAAAAATAAGATCATGAGCTAGCAGAAAAAACAGGGGGTAATCCCAAGGAATAATACTACCATAGGATAACAAGACGACTATTAGTAGAAAGAATATAAAACACAGCCTTTATTAAATATGAAACTTAAAACTGTGTGACATTAAAATATTTAATTCACTGTCTAATACAAGTTTAGATGTAATGATTAATCTAACCTATACATATGAATAGAAACAGACTGGAATATATATATATATAGCTACCTGTGAATATTCGCTTCACAACTCTAAATAGCAACATCCAAATACAATGTAACTATCACTCAAGTAACATCTGTTGCCTGATAATGTTAGTATACCGTAGGTATAGAAGCAAAACCAGATTAAAGCCCGTTGGGCCTGGTACCGACAATTGTGATGGGCCTAATTACAGAATCTTATCAATAGAAAATACTAAAACAGTCATACCTCCCAAGCATCATGTATCTGGTGGAGAGGGTGCTGGAGGGAAAACTCACAGGATATAGCTATCAGAAAACACACACCCTATGCTAATCTCTATCTTATATCTTACAAGTAAATCCATTCCCCTTAACAGCAGTGTCTGGTAAAGCAGGATGCCAATGGACAGCGTAAAAGGGCGGGCCACTGACGCGAATCATGTAACCAGAACTGTCCATAGGGAAAAACATGCCCAGAAAGAGGGCGTGTCTGCACAAAGAATTGAAAGGCCAGCCTGGTGTGAATGCATGTCAGGCTGCCTGCCAATCATGCAGGCTGGCCAACTAAGGGCATACTGTGCAGGCAGCACCCTGAGCTTGGCATAAATATGGCTAATGATGCGTTTGATCCACGCTTTCTTAGGACTGTCCCCTAGCACTGTCCTGTCCACTCCTCTACTTACCTTCTTACTAGCAGGCAGAAGCTCCTGGTATACAGTCTGTGACAGAGGAAAGATGTATGTAGTGAGTGTAGAAGAAAGGGAACATGCAACAATGTTAGAGAGACTGAAGAGCATTTGCATAGTGCGCAAAGTCAGTTTTACCTTAACTAATTTCATTGTCAGCCAGTTCACACAGGTTTTGTTCCTCCACATCCCTCCTAAGTTTCCATACTTAAAGGGACACTATAGTCACCAAATCAACTTTAGCTTAATAAAGCAGTTTTGGTGTATATATCATGCCCCTGCAGTCTCATTGCTCAATTCTCCACCATTTAGGAGTTAACTTCTTTTATGAACCCTAGTCACACCTCCCTGCATGTGACTTGAACAGCCTTCATAAACACTTCCTGTAAAGAGTCATCTAATGTTTATCCTTCCTTTATTGCAAGTTCTACTTAATTTATATTTTCTTATCCCCTGCTATGTTAATAGCTTGCTAGACCCTGCTAGAGCCTCTTGTATGTGATTAAGTTTAAATTACAGAGCAAGAGATAAAATTGTTTAAGGTAAATTACATCTGATTGAAAGTGAAACCTGCATGATCCATACACTAAAACGGCTTCATTAAGCTAAAGTTGTTTGGGTGACTATAGTGTCCCTTTAAGCAACAGCATTTGAAGAGTAGTAAAAAAATAAATAAAAATGTATTTATTTATTTTAATCAGTGGGCCTATTTCATGGGCCTGGAGCTGCAGCTCCATCAGCCCCAGGTTAATACAGTCCTGTATAAAAGAATACTCCAATGACAAAGCATGTAAGTAGTAAGTATGGTTAACAAGCGTTCCAAGTTAAGCACTCTTGACCAGTCTTGATTTTGTCCTATATGTTGTGCCTTACTACTAGTCAGTCAGTAGGGCATATGAGGGGCAGTGAGTTCATAAAGGGTTGAGCAAATATTTGAATTTGATCTTATAGCCGAGTGTAGGCTTTACTATAGGCCTATAGGCTCCGATAAGTACAGTAATCTTTACATGTACTTCCCGGAATGGCATAAATTTATGTTTCAATATCCGTGACATACTGCATTGGGTTTGGCATTGGTTTGAAGTTTTTTTTATGATATTATAATGTAGCTTGCTAAAATCCCTGGAGGCTATTTCTGAAACCCTTGCAGCTGGGTGTTAATGCAGGATCAGTGTCATTACAGAGTATAACGGGTGTATGGGATGGTGTAATGGCTAGTGACCAGGATATAGAGTGTACCCTTGGCCTGTATCTTGAAAACGGTTCTGTGAGACCTGAAATAATGATCATGGGCTGTGATATGTAAATGAATGTGTGTGACCTTGTATTTTGGTTAAAAGAAATGTCATCAAGGTTTTCCAGAAACACAAAAATAAACCTTAAGCTCCAATGTCGAGTTGTATGTGAATATCTCTAGAACCCAGAAGTGGCATTATTTTCCTTTAACATATACTTCACAGTTATGTATCTTTTATATTACATGAGTACCAGTTATCAGATTTTTTTTTATATCACTGGAACACATGTTCTATTCCACTCAAGGTTTCTGGGAGTTTCTGTTGCGATTTGCGCTGCCAACATTCATTCAGCATTTCTGGTATGCTGGGAGATGTTTTTTCTTCCCAGCTCCTTTGCCACCACATCATCATCAACAACGGGCTGAACTAAGATTCTAGCAGCTGCTACCCGGGGTATAATGCCTACGAATCACATACAGACTGGGACATGTATTTACCAATGCTGACCTGTGATTAGGAGCCCTGCACACGATGGCACCAATCAACTTGTGTATGATGGAAATTAATGCACAGGTGACATCAACCATTGCAGTACAGGCTTTGACAGTCTGACCTGCCCGTTTAAATAACAATGTAATATCATTATAATATATTTAATATATACTAAATATTATTACTGTGGAAAAGCCAAGTCTCTTAGACCCTTCTGTGCTAATTACACAATCTGAACATTTGGCTTGTGTCTCATTATAATCCACACTATCTTCCAATTCTCTACTGTTCTCCTTCCATCTCATTAAATACTTCTTATTGCTCTCCTGTTCCTTCTAACCTGCATAGCTGTCACTCAGTCAGCCCAGATCTCATTAAAGTAGGACAAGGTGAACAGCCTCTGCAGTATTAAAGGTTTGGGGATTTGTATCACTTAGGAACAAAGTTTTAATTCCATCTACTTGGTATCTTTCTGTGGTTATATGAGTTTTTTTTTTTTTTTTTTATATTTGTTTGCATCTGCTTTGAGTTAATAAGGTTAAGAATACCTAAGGCTTCGTAAACTAAAGGGATATATTTGTTTATTCAGAAACTCTTTTACCAAGAAATTAAATTGAGTTATCTCCCATTTTCTAGTTTATCTTGGGATACACAAGCAGTGCCCAAGTGTTAGGTATATGTTTAAATATTACAGAACCTAATAAACGTTAGCATTGGTTACAGATATTATATTTAGATATTCCACAGCGCTGTATGAGAAGGCTTATTCTATTTCCATTTTATAATGGGTAATAAGGTAATGAAACCTAACCTAATATTTATCAGGTTTGAGGACTCGGATTGGGTTCCTGAATAGTGAGGTAACTTTCCAGAAAATTAATTGGTGATATTGCAATAGCGATGAAGTTGTTCCTTTTGACGGATTTGAGAGTTTGAAAAAGTATTTGTTACGCTTTGTTAAAGGAACTGTTTAAGGAGCGTTCTCCTCTCTATTTAGATTCAGCCCCATACCTTAACAAGTTAAATAAAATTATTTACTTACCTTTAGTCCCCTGCTGGCTGGTCTCATCACAGCCACTGCTTGTACCCAGGCTGAGATTATCAATATATGATGTCTCCGCCAAACCAATGCTTTTTTGGGTTGGTGCTTGGCACGCCAGTTTCAGCACTGCACCTTTCAGCATCCTCACATAGATTGCATCAGATCAATCCATCTCTATACGGGGCATTCGGTATCTTCACGCAGACCATGGAGATGCTTGATATCTCTGTCGGTCTTGCAAAGATTGGAGTACCACACTTGAAGGGCCTCTAGAGACTTTCTGAGTGACAACCACTATAGGTGGCCTTAGGAACAAATATAAACATTGTCTTTTCTCATTAAGCTGTAGTGCTTCTGGGCCTAAAGTGTCCCTTGTGCACATCAGTGCCTAACGCAGATTGTCTAAGTGTCCTTGTTTTATCTTGCCAAAGTACAAATACTGTGATTATATGAAATAGTTACAAAGCATCCAAGTAACAAAATGGTGCAGCATGCATCTGAATATATTTTGGTTTTCAAGTGGGACAATGAATTGAATTTGATGTAAACACAGACAAACCTTTGCTCATATCTCATATATAAAGTAACCATAAATCTAATTCCATTTTGTCTATTTGTTTTCCAAGATTCACTGAATTCCTGGATCCTTTTGAACGTGTTATCCAACCAGAAGAGATATGGCTGTATAAAAACCCACTGGTACAGTCAGACAATATACCCACGCGGATGATGTTTGTAAGTTGTAAAACAAAGCCGTTTAATGAAATATGTACCTATTAAAAACAAAAATTACAGGAATGAGTACGTAATGTACTACCAGCCCTATTCACTGAAACTGAAATTGTAGGAGAAATGAGTAGATAAGAAAGATTGTTTTCTAACCTATACAGAATTAAAAATTTTTTACCTTGTTTATTCACTAAACTGAGAGTAGAAGAGGAATAAAAAAAATAAATTTAGACCAAAATAGGTGAACTGAAAAAATTTCCCAGCATTTTGACAAGTTGAATGAATAAACCAGTGGGAGAATAGGTCAGGAAGTTCCCATGAAACAGGTTGAAGTCCATAAAAAGTTTTCCTAACCTGGAAGGATTAATATATACAAGTGATACTCGAAAAATTAGAATATCGTGCAAAAGTTAATTTATTTCAGTAATGCAACGTAAAAGAGGAAACTAATATATGAGATAGACGCATTACATGCAAAGCAAGATAGTTCAAGCCGTGATTTGTCATAAGTGCGATGATTATGGCTTACAGCTCATGAAAACGCCAAATTCACAATCTCAGTAAATTAGAATATTGTGAAAAGGTGCAATATTCTAGGCTCACAGTGTCCCACTCTAATCAGCTAAGTAAGCCATAACACCTGCAAATGGTTTCTGAGCCTTTAAATGGTCTCTCAGTCGAAGGAAGTTGGATGGTCCCAAAGTGCTGTATCAAAGCACATTAGTAGCAAGTTATGTAGAAGGGAAAAGTGTGGAAGAAAAAGGTGCACAAGAAGCAGGGATGACCGCAGCCTGGAAAGGATTGTCAGGAAAAGGCAATTCAAAAGTGTTGGGGACTTTCACAAGGAGTGGACTGAGGCTGGAGTCAGTGCATCAAGAACCACTACACACAGACGGATCCTGGACATGGGCTTCAGATGTCGTATTCCTCTTGTCAAGTCGCTCCTGAACAACAAACAACATCAGAAGCGTCTTACCTGGGCTAAAGAAAAACAGACCTGATCTGTTGCTCAGTGGTCCAAAGTCCTCTTTTCTGAGGAGAGCAACTTTTGCATCTCATTTGGAAACCAAGGACCCAGAGTCTGGAGGAAGAATGGAGATGCACACACTGCAAGATGCTTGAAGTCCAGTGTGAAGTTTCCACAGTCTGTGTTGATTTGGGGAGCCATGTCATCTGCTGGTGTTGGTCCACTGTGCTTTATTAAGTCTAGGGTCAACGCAGCCATCTACCAGGAAATTTTGGAGCACTTCATGCTTCCTTCCTCAGACGAGCTTTATGGGGATGCTGACTTCATTTTCCGGCAGGATAATATGCACGATATTCTAATTTTTTGAGTATCACCGGAGACTACCTCATGCCCTGCTCGTTGCTTGTCTGAATTAGTATGGCTAAGGAAGAGTGTATCTGTTTAACCATGCCTGAGGTCTGGACTGTCCGAAAATAGCTTAATATTGAATGTAGGGGCAGAGCCAGGGGACTCCAGGCACTACAACCACTTCAATGAGATGAAATGATAGTCCCCTTTGAAGAAATACTATTATGAAGAAAAATAAAGTATTAAATCTGCACTGCTTTTCTGAGAAAGATAAAAGAGAAATAAATCAAGCACAAGCAGCTTCTAAAGACTGCTACATTTTTCAAGAAGATACATTTCTATGAAACCTGGCATGATTATTGATTAAAAACCTAACTAAATGGGAGAAAATGTCGTTTTTTTTTTATGATAGTGTCCCTTTAAGAGAAAATGATCAATATGTGTTTCATTTGAGACAGAAGTAACCGCTCTTGGCTAGATGTAGCCTGTAAATGAAACTCTGGCTTGTATTGATGTTAGAGCTGTGCAGACATAAAAGAGACTTGAAAATGGCATCTTTTTTGTTCTCCACAAAAGGTAAAAATCGTTCCTTAATGACAGAGCCCATCAGTTACAAACTAACATTCCCAGAATTGATACACAGATAGGTGATATTAATCAAGGCGTCCTGTTACTGTTGGACTTGGATCCAGATATTTTGAATAATGTAAACATTATTTAAGGAGGCCCCTGATGTCAGAAAATGTCTTTATCCTAGCTGAGCACACAGTGGCCATACCATAACAATGAGCCGATTTGACCACCTAATAAAAAATTAAGATAAAGAGGATGACATTTTACTGTATCTTTTTAGAAGTCTAGTTATCACTAAAGAAATATTACATTTAATAACGCATGTTGTTAATTTTTAGTTCGAATGTAACTGGCATCTTGTTTTGTTTTTCTTCAAATAAGTGATGGCTTATTTTTGTGAGCAATTCAAAAAACTGTTCATAATCATTGAGTATTCAGTAAAGGATCAATTGTCAATCATATCAATTGGGCCCCCAACTCTATACCATGGTAGTAAGTGCAATTACCGTTTGTTTACTATCACATGCTTTGAATTGGACATGTTGGGGTGTGCGACATGATTTGCACGTTGCAAGCCAATAGGTCGGCACATGTTCTGGACCTCCATGGAAGTACTTGTGAACATGCAGAATGCTATAAATGCCCTTTCTGTTCATAGATTTTTAGCACAGTTACGGAGGCACTTTTTATTGACATATACCAGTGTCCCAGAGGAGAGCACGACCAGAGAAATTAACTGTTGTGGTAGAACCTGGGTTTTTGGTATCATTTGTAGGCTTCAAGCACAGAACCATTTAAAAAAATAAATAAAACTGCATCATAACGAGCTTTGTTCCCATTGGAGCCCTATACAGTCTATATATATATATATATATATATATATAAATCTATACAGGTGTATATATATATATATATATACCTATATATATTGGGTCTTGATATCCTAAATTTCATCAGACTTCACTCTCCCTCTCAGGCTAAGCAGGCTCTGAAAATATACTTGCCAGAGTTGGCACTCAGCACAAATTATTTAATAACAATTTGCCATCTTCTTGCCCTGGAAGTAGCAAATGGAGAACACAAACATTTAGACAAGGACTGTACAAAAAACTGATGTGCAGGTATAGTGCAAGAATGCAATATAAGCCAAGCCCACAAGGACAAGCATCGTTTTTGGGTTCTGCAGTGAGTGTCAGTTGACCTCCTCCCCTTTTTTTAAAGTTAGAATGTTCAGAATCATGGCAAAAAAATACAAAACGTTTACAGTTGTAACTGTCACATTGCACAAAGGTGCTAATACAGTTGCAAGAAAAAGTATGTGAACCCTTTGGAATGTTATGGATTTCTGCACAAATTGGTCATAAAATGTGATCTGATCATCATCTAAGTCACAACAATAGACAATCACAGTCTGCTTAAACTAATAACACACAAAGAATGAAATGTTGCCATGTTTTTATTGAACACACCATGTAAACATTCACAGTGCAGGTGGAAAAAGTATGTGAACCCTTGCATTTAATAACTGGTTGAACCTCCTTTGGCAGCAATAACTTCAACCAAACGTTTCCTGTAGTTGCAGATCAGACGTGCACAACGGTCAGGAGTAATTCTTGACCATTCCTCTTTACAGAACTGTTTCAGTTCAGCAATATTCTTGGGATGTCTGGTGTGAATCGCTTTCTTGAGGTCATGCCACAGCATCTCAATCGGGTTGAGGTCAGGACTCTGACTGGGCCACTTCAGAAGGCGTATTTTCTACTGTTTAAGCCATTCTGTTGTTGATTTACTTCTTTGCTTTGGGTCATTGTCCTGTTGCAACACCCATCTTCTGTTGAGCTTCAGCTAATAGACAGATGGCCTTAAGTTCTCCTGCAAATTGTCTTGATAAACTTGGGAATTCATTTTTCCTTCGATGATAGCAATCAGGCCCAGACGCAGCAAAGCAGCCCCAAGCCATGATGCCCCCACCACCATACTTCACAGTTGGGATGAAGTTTTGATGTTGGTGTGCTGTGCCTTTTTTTCGCCATACATAGTGTTGTGTGTTTCTTCCAAACAACTCAACTTTGGTTTCATCTGTCCACGGAATATTTTGCCAGTACTGCTGTGGAACATCCAGGTGCTCTTGCGCAAACTGTAAACATGCAGCAATGTTTTGTTTGGACAGCAGTGGCTTCCTCTGTGGTATCCTCCCATGAAATCCATTCTTGTTTAGTGTTTTATGTATTGTAGATTCGCTAACAGAGATGTTAGCATTTGCCAGTGACTTCTGTAAGTCTTTAACTGACACTCTAGGATTCTTCTTCATCTCATTGAGCATTCTGCGCTGTGCTCTTGCAGTCATCTTTACAGGACGGCCACTCCTAGGGAGAGTAGCAGCGGTGCTGAACTTTCTCCATTTATAGACAATTCGTCTTACTGTGGACTGATGAATAGCAAGGAGATACTTTTATAACCCTTTCCAGCTTTATGCAAGTCACAATTCTTAATCGTAGGTCTTCTGAGAGCTCTTTTGTGCGAGGCATCATTCACATCAGGCAATGCTTCTTGTGAAAAGCAAACCCAGAACTGGTGTGTGTTTTTTATAGGGCAGGGCAGCTGTAACCAACACCTCCAATCTCATCTCATTGATTGGACTCCAGTTGGCTGACATCTCACTCCAATTAGCTCTTGGAGATGTCATTAGTCTAGGGGTTCACATACCTTTTCCACCTGCACTGTGAATGTTTACATGGTGTGTTCAATAAAAACATGGCAACATTTCATTCTTTGTGTGTTATTAGTTTAAGCAGACTGTGATTGTCTATTGTTGTGACTTAGATGATGATCAGATCACATTTTATGACCAATTTGTGCAGAAATCCATATCATTCCAAAGGGTTCACATACTTTTTCTTGCAACTGTAATAGCAACAATTTATTAAATAATAACTAATGATGTTGGTGTTAAATTAGTCCTAGCTGTAAATGGATAGCTTTCTTACAAAGGAAATCTGCTAATCCGTTATTTTTTTCCCTGTTATGCTAACTGCTTGACCTCACAAGAACAGAAACTCTGCCCAAGTAGATATGTTAAAAATCTACGCCCTTTTGCAGAATACTGCATCTCTCTCAAAGCAAAAAGACATGCCCGTCTCTCAGACACGTGGCTTGATAACTACATATCATATCTACAAAAAAAATAAAAAAAATATCCTATCTCAAATCTCACTAGAACAGCGTTTGTGAATACAGGCACATTTGTCAGGAAACATTGATTTTGCTTCCTATGGACCATGACCAACATGATACCAGGCAAAATGAGGATAAGGGATGGAATAGCAGTGGGAGCCACTGGCTCAAAACATGACTGAGCTGGCCCTTTAACCACGTGTGACTTGCCGTAAAAGTGGCAATTCATGGTATGCCTTGGTATGGCTAGATAGCTTTTTATAACCATGTGCGTACCCGAAGTACTGAATGACATAATATGCATACTATATATCTAGACCTTTTTCCAGAAACATAGAAAAAATTTCATTTTTTTTCATATATGATTATAATTCGAAATGTATTTCATCTCACATTAGTCTTTCTAAATGTTACATTAATTCTTATTTTGCTAATATCTTTAAGATACTATGACTTGAACACATGATAAAAATGAGGGTTAAAATAAAAAAAAAAAATACCTCCTTAGATTTGCATCCGTAAGTGGTCCTCCTGTAAAATCATGCTTCCATTTTCTGAATTTATATTTCTCAGATAACTTCTCATGGTTCTAGATTGTCTGTTTAGATACGTTTTGTCTTCTTACATCTGACTTTAAATGGATTAGTTTTCCAACCAAGCTGCTTTTGTGGTGACAATCTTTATGATGTCATTTATTGCCTTAGTGATGTAATAATGTGCATCTGATCAGTGAATGCAGATGTGCAATACAAAACTGTATTCAATAATAAATAAATTATGATCTAGTGTAATTAAGGATGTTGTATATTAAAATTCCCATATTGATAGATATAGCAAGCTTCTCCGCTCAATACACCCTGTCAAAACTGAGTTTGTTTCTTTTTTCCTTAATTGGCTGGTGACTTAAATCAAGAGTGGCCAAAAAGTCGATTCCTGACTATGTAGAACTACAAGTTCCATGATGTTTTGCCATGCTTTGGGTGCACAGGTTAGTTGCCATATTTACACGCCCTGCACAGTATCCCAATTTTTGGTAAGTTGACAAATAACAGTCCGTTTAATTTTTCATATATTTAAAAAATTATTATTGGTATTTATATAGCGCCAACTTATTCTTCAGCACTTTACAATTTTATAAAGGGGGCAATTTAACAATAAATGAGACAATTACAAAATGTCACAGAAACAATGGGTTGATGATGACACTGCTCATACAAGCTTACAAACAAATGTGTCTGTGAGGTATGAAAAGTAAAATTAAATGTAGAAATATACACCTCTTTATCCTGAAACCAGGCACCTCCATCTGAGTTCCCTGCCAATCATTGTTACAAACTCTGACCTTTGCACCTTGCCATATATCATAATACATTTGTGCGTACCAGAAGTATTCAATTAGGCACAAAAATATTCCCACCCATTTCACAAAAAGTAAGAAATAGACTAAGAGGGGTTAGTGTACACATGACACTTCCCATCCTATGTAAATATCGCACATCTCAGTGATACAAAGCGTTCATCAAATTTCTTTTTTTATATATATATATATATATATATATATATATGTTTATAATTACAAATGCATTTTATATCATATTAATTCCAGTGATGCAGTAGTTTTTATAAGTCTTACATTAAAATTCCATTGCCACTACTCTTGGTACCATCTTTAAGAGATAATGCCTTGAACACATACTTGAAATGGGGGTTCAAAAAAGCTACCTACTTAGATTTGCACCCGTGAGAGTTCTACATGCTTCCATTGTCTGATTGTTATTGCTCAAAAAACCTCCTCGTTGTTCTAGATCGTCCTTTTGGATAGTTTTCTCTTACCTCTGACCTTTAATGGATCACCTTCCCAGACCAGCTGATTGTGTAGTGACACAATCTTTATGATGTCACTCATTGGCTGTGATGTCATTATCTGCATCTGATCAGTAAATGTAGACACATAGTGCAAAACTGTAGTCTTCAATAATGCATTCCTTATAACCTAGTATAAGTAACGATGCTGCATATTAAAATTCCATACTGCTGTTAATTATTCTTGGAGTCAAATAAAAGGCTGAAACTTCTACATATAATAGCAGTGAATAAAAAAGATCCATGTTTGCAGTGAAGACACCGGTATAGCAAGCTTCTCAGCTCAATACACCCTGTACAATTCCAGTTTGTTTCTTTTTTCCTTAATTGGGTGGTGACTTAAATCAAGAGTGACCTTAAAGTAGATTCCTAAATGCGTAGAGCTAGAAGTTCCATGATGTTTAGCCAGCCTTTAGGTGCCCAGTGTAATTGCTTTATTCATCAGCACTGCACAGTAACCCTAATTCAGGTATGTTGCCAAATAAGTCAGTGGACTTTAAAAGGAAGCTAACATTTCTCAGGATTTTTAACTTTATATTTGCTTATTCCTATATTTTACAAATGTGTTTGTGAGGTGTGAAACATAAAATACTTAGAAATCTGCACCCTTTGATTCCAGGTCTGAGGTCAAGTTCTCACTCAGCCCTATCTCCATTGACAACACTCACCCTCACATGAGTGGGGTAGGGAGATCAGGGAGGGCACACTAAGTGACAGATGGAGGGGGTGCAGTGGCTGTCTGGCACCAGCATGCTGTGCATACTGACATTAATTTTGCACAGATATAACATTAGCCACTCGGAAATGTAATTCCGTGCTGTCTAATGACACCCCTATGATGACTGCATGGCCTTTTCGTCTGCACTTTTGTTAGATGCAGACCCTGCATGTGATTTCTTGCATTAGTTGGGTACCTCAGTTGGTTGCCATATTTACATGTCCTGCACAGTAGCCCTGTTTCTAATAAGTTGTCATAAAAGTCAGAAATAATTCCTTTAGGGAGTCCAACTGGTAACACAACTGAACTTGAGTTTCCTTGAGTTGGTCATATTAAATGGCATGTTTATTCCAAAAATCTTCTGTGAAGCATAGTGGAAAGATTATGGCCTCGTTTTCATCCTTTTCGATAACCTTTTAAAATTATCCCAATCTGTTAGAAAAAAAATCTTTTCAACTGATGTTATCTTTAACTTTCCCCATAGACTTGTGTGCATAAATCATTTGAAGCAATTTTCTAACAAATTATGATCATTTGTAAACCTTATCCAAATTAATTAAATCAAGGCCTAGGTAATAAATGTAATTAAGTTCCTAACCTGTAAATCAATTCCGTTACTTGTTTTTTTTTTTGTTTGTTTTTTTAGATGATTACAAGTAACAACACAAAACTGCTGAAACTATTTTAAAATTACAAGTACGAGATACACACTGGTTTTGTAATATAATATAATGTTGCAATAACCAAACTTTCTGCTCAAAGAGCTTCTATAATATCAGTCACAGAGATTTTTCTTTTTTTTACATACCTACAGGCTATTTCATTTCTGACACCCCTTGCCGTCATTTTTGTGGTGAAGATAATTCAACGAACAAATAGAACAGAGGTTAAAGAAGCCTGTCTGGGTAAGTATGGAACTGGATTTGAGAAATTATTAAACTAGGAATTCCCTGATAGGTGAAATGTACCCAGTATTCTTCACATAGCCCTTATTAAGAACATCTTTATCAAGAACTCCTTTTAAAGTTTTAAGAACATTTTAAACACCATAGATACTGCAGCTTTACAACATTAATCATATCTTGTACTGCCCAAAAGTAGATAAATGTCAGCGCTGTGCAATAGCCCCAAATAAGTGTTTGTGGGGAAGCTGGGTATTGAGATAAATGTGTATGATTTCCACCTCCGCAGCGGTGGTTTAGAACTTTGTATCCTACAGCAGTGATCACAGTAACTTATCTTCAAAGATGCAAACCAAGCAAAGAAAGTGCAACACAGTTTATTAATATCATGTAAAAATGAAACTCCAAATAGTTTAAAAAACGTATACACAGTAAAAAAGATGGTGTTTAAATCCTACTGTCCATCTAAGGATCCAAACAGAGTCCAGAATATGTAGCAGATAAGCAGTGTGCAGTAGAAATCCAGAAAAAGTCCAAGGATCTAGCCGAAATGCTGCAAGTTCAAATGGAGGGTTTATATACACAAGATAAGGCAGACTCATTATCTTGGAAAAGCCCACTGAGTGCGGGCGAAACGCGTGGATGAGTTAGAAGCCTTTCATCTTATCTTTCCAGGCAGACTCCTTTGGCAATTAAGTGCTTTGTCATCCCTCCATTTGGTGGAAATCATACACATTTATCTCAATACCCAGCTACCCCACAAACACTTATTTGGGGCTATTGCACAGCGCTGACATTTATCTACTTTTGGACATTCTACCACATAGGTTTGCGGAATAACCTTTTATGTCTGGCAGCTACAAATTTTTTTATCTTTGGACTTTTAATATTTGGTGTTATACAGACGATTTAATTTTATATTGCGCTTTTTGGTTCTATTTTTTTTATATCCTGTACTGCGCATTGGGTGATACCGTCTCTGCATTGTCATTGCTCACAGTTTTACCAACAGTGTGAAGTGAGGGACCTCTAATTTCAGAGCAGCTCCAATACATGCACATCGCAGCCTGCCTGAGATTAGTGGGCATTACAATCCTTTAATTCTATGTACGTGGTCTGTCTGGAAAAAGTCCAGGTATTGCTAATATAACGAGAATGGTTTGCGCGACATCGATGTAACTTGCCAGCCCAGGAGAGAGGAGAGGAATGCTCATGCGTTAACAAGGATGTCTTCACTGTACTAGTCAGTGGGGGCGCTAGATGCCATTGAGTGAGCATGTGTACTGTGTGGTCGTCACCTTCAAAATGACTGAGAGAGTAGAGCAACAAATCTGCGTCAAAGTTTGCATTAACCCCTTAAGGACCAAACTTCTGGAATAAAAGGGAATCATGGCATGTCACACATGTCATGTGTCTTTAAGGGGTTAAGCTTGAACATTCCTCTGCGGAAACTCTTCAGATGGCTTTTAGGGACGATGCAATGAGAGCAGGGCACATAAAGGTGTGGCACAAATGCTTCAAAAATGATCGGGAATCTGTTGAAAGATTTGCGCCCTGTGATTTGTGGCTTTTCCCAAAACTAAAATCCCCTTTGAAAGAGAAGAGATTTAAGACCGTCAATGAGATTCAGGTAAATTCGACAAGGTAGCTGATGGCTATTCCAACAAAGAATTTTGCAGAGTGTTTTCAAAAGTGGAAAAGAAGCTGGGAGAACTGTGTGAGGTCCCAAGGTGCCTACTTTGAAGGGGACTGAGGCGTCATTGTCCTATGTACAATGTTTCTTGTATCTTCTTCAATAAATATCTCTATTTTCATATTACATGGCTGGATACTTTCTGGACAGACCTCATATATATATATATATATATATTTATAATTAGTGGTCGGGGCCAAGGCCAAATGTAATTAATACATTTGAGCCATACTAGTAAAGATAAGTTGGTTGTGGTGTGCCAAAACCGATGATGAATGGGAAGGCCTGAATGAAAAAGGGCCTACCTACTGAAAGAATTATTACAGTGAGCGGTAGATGGGTTCCTAAACACCCACAGAATGCCCAGAGGTAGCTGTGAGGGAGGTTGATATAGGGTAGATAAACTCATCCCACAACTCCAGGAAAACTGCCTTTCGTTGTGGAGGAGCCAAAGACACAGAAACCTCTATCCCTATTGTCCCTCCCTGCATGCCATCATTATGGGGAAAGGGCTTGACTAAACAGGATGGCAGCTGCAAAGAGGAGTGTAACTCCCACTAATCTGTCAGATCGGTACATGTAAATGTCAGTCGTTGTGGAAAAGAGTTTTGTTTGCAGTTTTATATTTTGTACCCGCTGTGCAGTACTGGTTTGGAAAATATAACCTGTCATTTAAATAACTATCAGATCATGTAGCTTTTGTAGCTAAAGGTAGAACTGCATGCATAAAGAAAATATACATAAATGTGTGTGTGTGTGTGTGTGTGTGTGCACACATTCGCCAGATACATCAACAGATGAAAATTCCAAGACATGCTACAATTTTCCAATCTACAGATGTCCCCAACCGCATGCACATCGATGACATTAGATAATGGCATTACCACTGGATCTTGAGTGCATTTAAGGCCTTTTATGAACAACCAGTATTAACAATAACAAAATGTTCCTAAAACTTCTATCTGCGTGATTCAGTTGAGATCAGTACAAACCAATACTTGTCATAATTTTTATCTGGGAAAAAGAAGAGCAAGTTATGTGTGAAGACTGTTTTAAAACTGTCTCCCAGAAATGTAATTATATCTCTACGGTTGAAACCAACTAGATGGAGACTGATTAAGTGATTAATGTAGCTGTGCTGTGAAGAAATACGCCTAAAATTTGACCTGTGAGCAGTCCTAGACTTTAATAATAGCTTGCTTCTAGTATATGAGAGAGACAGAGCCCAGGGACATTTGCTACACTGTATTTTCTTTTGTTCTTATCAACGATTACCGTGTGCATTGAGTTAAGTAGACAAAGAGCCAAGAATCAATATGTACCATACATCAATAGCAGACCTTAATTACCATAAATCACTGCAGTAACGAGATGCTGTCAGATTCAACGTTTCTGTATATCATGTATGTCGGACAATAGTTCAGTAATGTAATATTACACATTCTATTAATTATCCAATGGCGATCAGATGTCTACTGAGCTATCGTGTACCTTTTATTTATACGTCTATAAGTACAGAGTGACTGCTACCTTAATATATACTGACAAGTACAATTCTGTGAGGTTGATATCATTAGGCAAATTAAAGGACTGATGGCTTAATTCTGGCAGCACCTAATATTGATCGTATGCATGACTCTTTAACTCTCACTGATCTCTCTGGTATCTCTGATCTCTCATGCAGCTGTGTCCTTGGCATTGGCTCTGAATGGAGTTTGCACCAACACCATCAAACTTATAGTGGGAAGGTATGTTTTAACGCTGGGGTCGGCAATTTCACTTCCTAGGACTGCATGTTCTGTACATTTAATGCTATGCATAGTCCAGCGATGTCCGACCTTTGACACTGCAGCTGTTATGGACTATGTTTCCCATGATGCCTAGCTCATCCACAAGAGCTGCAGTGCCTAGGCATTGCTGGCGTGGGAGATTTAATACCAATTCTTCTGTTTATATTGCTCATGCATCCGATGATTGAAGAACTAATGACATGTCGCTGCTATCAATAGTCTGAATGCTGAATTAGTGATGTCTGCTTTTAACAATGTCCCTTGGTACCACCAGTTTTATGTCGCCTAATAGCCTCATTTACATGAATTGTTCCCCAAGGCACAGTATCGTCAGCGTCTTTACTCCCTAGTGCAGGATTATTACATGTAATTAGCTATTACAGAGAAAGCATTGGGGCCCTTGAGAAATGTTATTGAATCAAGTAATTTTGAATGTTTGGAATAAAGAGGATCTGCAAATATATACAAAATAAATCACAGAAAACAAATAGTTTGCATTTTAACTTTTATTGATTTTAGCTAGCAGAGATAGAGGGACAACTTTTCTCCAGTAATGCAAGCCTAACCAGTTGGCTCAGTGGGGTTGCTGCCAAGAAGCCAAGTATGGCTAACAGACCAGTCAGTCGAGCCCCTTACAGCACACTCTAGAACTCACTATTGGAATCCAAAGCAGAAAGAGTTCAAGAAGACTTCTTTCATAGCACAAATCATGGATCAAAAACTCCCCAATGTCATTACAGACACAGCGTCAGGGTTATTCATTATACTAGAATCACAAAAACAGACTTGTAAAAATAGCTGATTTTGGTAGGTTCCCTCGATTCAGCTATTTTGCCCTTGATTTTATATTTTGCTTGTCAACTCTCCACAGTTCTTGATCTAGTGAGCATGTGTTGAATCGTAAGTTAGGATGATAGGAATAATTCCATGTAATGCATTGCAACATCTCATCATTTCATGAAGTCCACAATCCATCTCGGTCACATATAAAAAAAATGAATAAGGTGGAACCGACCGGCTGCAAGGAGGATCAAGGCTTGTCTTTACATTGCTCATAGGGAAAGCTAGCTCTGTAAAAGACAGCAACTGCTTTTGATGGTTTCTCTGTAGTATTTTCTTTGAATATTCTTCAGGTATGTCAAATCATCTGATTTTCTGTCCCTGTAGTAGCTTAGAATCTTAAGATATCCACCGAGATCACACAAAAAAGGAACTTCAAAATACACAGAATAAAACATATTTCAATGTATTTACTTTATCAAACTTGTTTTCACAGTGAACTTACTTAGTAACTAGCACACTGTGTACCTCGCAGATCCTAAAGAAACTAAATACAGTAGTGCATTCAGAGTGATCTTGCCCTGGTTACTGGTCTTACACTACCTTTAACTTTATTGTGTATTCCGAGTGCTATTGCATTAAACCATACACAATATAACATTAAATACTTACATTTCTTTCAAGAGAAAAATATATTCCTAGTTCCAGATGAATATTTGTGACATTTTTTCATATTCTAACTGTAGCATTATTTGTTTCGTATAACCTATGATTCTCTTCATTCACGTATTTTGTAGCATCTGGCAATAAAACATGATTTCAGACCAGCATTTCAATTTCCTAGGCTAAAGATAGAAGCCATGCCTGCACATGCATTCATTTCACAGTGGCTTTGGGATGTCAATGAGATTGTGCAGCCCCATAAGACTTGCAGTGTCGCGATCAGTGTAGAAGAACATTTTTAAAAAAATATTTAATTCAATTCAAGAGTGGAACAGAATTGAGGCTATTGAAGCAATACAATGAAGAAACCAGCAGTTGGATTAAAATTAACCGCTAACACTGTAATACATTGGAGAGAATGGTAGAAGCTTACAGCAAAATATTCTAGGGAATATAAAAATATGTTTGACAGAAGGTTCTATTGGCACGATGGAATATATACACTACCATTATAGGCAATCAGCTCATTCTATATGTGATAGAATTTTGTGACATGTTCAGCTAGATGTTGGCATTTTAGATCTTCGATGCAGGACTAACAGGAATATCGGATATAGTTTTTGTCTACAACAATTCATATCTCCTCCTGGAGTCCGTAGGTTTTGTGGAACCAAAAGTCAATAACAGGCCGTAGCCAAGGAATTAATAAATCTGGTTATAAATTAAACGTGTCCGCAGTCCGCTTACACCTGGTACACCAGTGGGCGCTAACTAGCACCTTCCATGTTTTGTGGTTCGAGGATAAACCTGTGTGATACTAAAAAATAAATATGTAGAAGACCTGAGCGTCAAGAGTGATGTGCCATACCGTACATAGGAGGGAGAGTACTTCTTAATTTTTTAGAATATTTTGCCTCCATCCAAACCAAGTTGAAATTCGAAATCAGTATTCCTAAAATAGCATGTTTATTTTCATCTGAATAACAATATTGGAATATATGAGTCTGCATTTTCTAAAGACATTAAAGCACAGCTAACATCACGCACTAGTGTATATTTCAATCCAAATTAGATTAGAACTCCTAGGCCACATTGTATGCAGTTGGTATAGTAGAATTGTAATGTTGCTTTGGTTATAGAATGAAATGGAAAGAGGGTGGCACCTCTGATGAACTGGTTTTATTGCCAGCTCAATATAAACGGTGCACTCCTTGTACAATACAGTAAATGCCAATTCATTTTCATTCATTCATTAATTGTCATCAATGGATTATGTTATACTGCTGCGAGCCATAGTGTTGGCAGTTTGTGACCTCATCAGCGTTCGCCTCCACATTCTCATAAAAATATAATAAGATTTAAAAAACTCAAGAAAAAAGTATTTTCTTATTTGTTACAGGTTCTATTTGTTACAGGTCAACATTTTTGCTAAGTAGCTGAGTAGCTAAGAGGCGAAATGTTGAAAATGTAAAACCTTACGGCATGCTAGCTTTATTCTACTGATTAAATTAAACCTAATTTTCAAAAATTCCCAGATGGGATTGGAATACAGAGTGAGTGGCAAGTGAGGGCTTAAGTGGATCTGTCACCCAAGGCAACGTTACATTAATCAACACGCACAAATCACTGTCTACGTATGTTCTAAAACTGTTGTGTGGTTTTTAGATATATTTAATAATATAAATTCAAACCTAAAAAAAAAGTAATTTTGTAAAAACCTAGAAAGGAGCATTTCTCAGCTTCTCCCTAGAGGTTTTCTGCATCGACTATAAAACTAAATACCTATATTTAAGCAAATACAAAATTAGGCCAGACGTATCATGCATGTTTCCAGATAGAAATGTTATATTTTTATATGAATATTTTAAAGGGTTACTCCAACCATTTTTGATAGTAAACTAATTCTGCTTTACAATGCCCTATGAGGCATTACTAATAGGTGCTCCCCTGTAAAAAGGTTGTTAATTTACTTGACATCCAGTGCCGGGCTAAACCCCCGGCACTGATCTCCACTCCCCATTTGACATCATCCCTGCAGATGTACGCTCCAAACACATAGAGGAGCCTTTGATTGGAGTGTTTCTCTGTCGCAGGGCACATGCGTGCAATCTGAGCCAGCGAGTGGGTTTAATCAAGGAAGTTGGGAGGAAGCACACATGGGGGGGGATGCTTGTTACATCTGTTGCCAGCGCACTGTAGGGGCTGACGACAGGTGTAAAATATGCTCAAAATTTACTTTTGTACTTTTGGCAGTGTAACACATTTGACACAAGTCCAAATATCTCTGATTGTGCAGTGTTTTAAGCAGAAACCATGCACATCCAAACTCCTACCACCGTGACCACTTTAAACCACTTAAATGGTTATAGTGGTTGGAATAACCCTTTAAGCACAAGAAGCAAGTTGTTCAAGTGCAAATGTCTTAAACACAAAACCTAGTGAATTGCGCAAAAGCATGTTAGTGTAATACACATGCAGTTTTCTAGGTTCTGTTGATTAATTTTAAGTAACTGTTCAATTTTAATGATATTAGTGTATTTAGCTTATTAGTACTCTGATATCACGGATATACAGTGACAGTATTTAAGTGTTAGCAATACAGTTTAATATTAAGGGCTTAAAGGAACACTGTAGCATTATTAATACATACCGATATTCCTACAGCTAAAGTCCTGATGCCACTTGTCATTTAGGTCCCCGTTGTAAAAAAAAAAAAAAGTGAAATAAAACAAAATGCTCACTTTTTCTCCAGCACCGAGTCTCCCTCGGTGTTGTCGCAACCACCTTCTTGTTTGCTCATTCATAGAGGAGCATTGGGGACTTTAGATTTAATAATTCTCTATGGCCATTCGTGACGCCACAGTATGAGATCCAGTAGGCTTGGAGCATGACATAAAGCAGCGCTTCCAAGCTCTCTAATTAGTTTACCAACTGGTTTTGTGGGTAGGTGAAGGGGAGGCAGGACTGCAGGTACTATAACAACTTCAATAAAATGAAGTTGTCAAAGTACCTAGAGTGTCCCTTTAATGTTTTTTTTTTTTAAATTTTTTATTTTTTTTGCAGTGCATATTAGTATAAACAGGCCTGAGGTACCCCAACGGCAATCCTTAGGCTTCGTGAAACATTGGATAGGGAATGCACAATTTTTGGGTTATAAACAGGAGATAAACAGGATAGTACAATTCCCAGGTAGGTCTATACAGCCAAATATCATGGTACAGGCATCTATTGGTGAGTTTGGCTATGAGACCTGCCAGGTTAGGTAACTTACACTAAAATCACAATATAATACAAGACTGTCGGTATTAAACACGCTCGACGCACATGAAAGGCATTTGTCCCGTGTAAATTGCTAAAAGGGCATCTATAGGTAGGTTGGGTAGTTAGGAGACCTGCCCCTTAGGAGTTACATGAGGTGCACAATCCTATATGATCATCTATCTCTTACAGGGCCGTCTTTAATATTGATTGGACCCTGGGCAAGCATCTGTTTGGGCCCCCTGGGCATGCAATCACTCCCTCCACCCCAACCTAGAGGCGAAACTAATGTAGAGAGTGCCTTGGTGCAACAAAAAAATAAAATTCAGGCCTGCCCTGTAGCACAAGAGTAAAGAAAAGATAGATCCCCATCTGTCATACAACTCCTGCGATGCTATGCCAGGTGGGGATCTACCATCCTTGCAGGGTTGTATTTTTGAGCAGTGTTTGTGCAAATGAATGTCAGCATGTTATTGTATAGAGTGTATGTGTGCATGTAGGAGTGTATTTGTATGTACTGTTACCATTGGAATGCAGTGGTGTACTTGTGTGTAGTGTTTGCATTTTAATGCAGGGATGTGTGATTGTTTGTAGTGTTGGCTTTTAAATGCAGGTGTACTTTTGTGTGTAGAGTTGGTGTTTGTATATAATTTTAGCGTTTTAATACAGGAATGTGTTTGCATGTAATGTTTGTATTTGCATGCAGGGGGGTGTTTGGATGTAGTGTTGTCTTTTAAATACATGTGTACATTTGTGTGTAGTGTTAGTGTTTCAGCAAACTGGTGTGTTTGTAATGTTTGTGTTTGCAGGGGTCTGTTTGCATGTTGTGTGATTTCTATAACACATATACACATACACATTAACACGCAGATACACACATGCTCACACTGACACATGCTCACACCTTGACACATACTGGCACATACACATACACTCAGATACACACCCTTTGACACACAGATACAAGCACTTTGATATACACACACTGGCACATACACACACACACACACACACGCACTGACACAGGTATATACACACACTCAGATACACACATACATAAAGGTATAAATGCAGGGGTGTATATGTGTACAGTGCTAGAGATGGAATGTAAGAGTGTATTTGTGTTGGCATTAAAATGCTGGGATGTATGCATTACCACACACTCAGATGCACACTTACACACACACTGAAACACACACACAGGTGCACATACAGGTGTATGAGGTATACATACACACAGAAACACTGACACACAGACAAACACAGCCAGATACACACAAGGACATAAACACAGTCAGATACACACATATATATGTGTACATTTACATATTTTAATCTCTGCCTTCTAGCAGCTCTTGGACAGCAACTCCCAGCAACCTTGGCCAATATAATGTCTCAACTCTGTTCTTACATACCCTGGTCCAGAATTTGGCAAAAATGACATTTGGAAATGGTGTACAGCCTTTGATAACACTTGATGCAATAATATGTTAAAATAAATACTTTTTAAATTTATATTTAATAGGGAACTGTCAGGTTCTTCTAGGATTTTTAACATGTACTTATTCCCTGTGTGTTACATTACAAACACCAACACACTTAAATAAAAGTGATATCAGAAATTAGCAAAACAAAAAACAAAACATATTTAGCCACCCTCCTGTCTCCTTACCTTTTGGGTACAGAAAGGTGGCTTCCCTGGTGTTCAGTGAGAGCTTGTTGGCCCAGGCTGATGGGAGTCTGCCATCAGCTTTCTCAGTCCCTCTCCCCCACAATGCTTGCATCCCCCTCCATGCGGTGTGTGCCTCCTCCCCGGCGGCACTGAGGAGGAACTGATCAGTTCTTACTGGGATGAAGCAATCTGACCTCACTTTCTCCCAGCATGCCCAGGAAACAAAGAGACTCACAGGGCAGTATGTGAGGGGGCTAGCTGTGAGTATGTAGTCAGCCACCCCCATATAACAGGGGCCCGGGCCAGTCCAGAGCAGTATTAAAGGGCTGTGGCCCCTGATTACCTCAGGTGCCGCAGGGGGCCCATGGGGCAGCTGCCTTAGGGCCCCCAGGAGTAACTGGGCCTGGGGCAGCTGCCCCTTTTGCCCCTCCTTAAAGACGGCTCTGATCTTTTATAATCTGTATTTTAGGTGTGCAGAGAAGCATATTCAATTAGACTGACATTTGGAGTGAAACAAAATAAGCTATTACAAACCGATGGTTAGATCTCTGAATGTCTAATTAAGATACACACTTTAAAAGATAAAAAAAATTATCAAGAAACACAAACTAGCCATTTGTGATAGGTCTCTAGGATGAGAAACAAAACTACTCAATCCTAGCTAGCATGAAAATTATTACAAGCCGATTTAAAGCAGTAAGTATGAAATTACCTGCTGAACATAAACATTCCAGACCTTGCTAAATAAAACAGTCGAGTGACTAACAGTTGTAACTGCTCAGCAGGCCACCCCATGGTAACTGCCTTTAATGGTTTTTAGTGGCATTTCATTCTGTTTTTTGCACAAGGGCTTAGAGATGCCAGTGGAAAAACATGCTTTTAGTGTTAAGTTTTTACTAAGCACCAGAAATACAGGTAAATATAATCTCCAAATATTTCTGTGCCTACTTCGAGTGCTAAGTGGCAGTGATCATTGTTGAACCACAATATAAATCTGCAGACAAAGTAACTGCATGTGGATGTTGTCCAAGAAATACACGTTTTTCATTGCTTGCTAGTCAGGGGTTTAAATGCCATCACTGCATTTGTGCTAAAAACATTTGTAGCCCTTTCCTCGAGTGTGCTGTACTGAGTTGTGTACTAATGTGATTTAAATGAGTTTTAAATTGCTTCACTGATAATCAATAAAAGAGCTAGCAAACTGCAATATTAAAATCTGCGAGAAAAGAAGCCAAAGTATAACAAAGTTGTATTCAGTGAAGGCGTAAACAGTGCAGTATACAGTTTTACTATGTAACTTTCATATTCCGTAATATTATTATTAGTAGTACCGTAGCACAAACTGGCTCAGAGAGTGTTATATTGCTTCTCTCCAGCAATTTAAGAGCTTTAACACATTAATGAACCTTGTCAGTGATAAATAACAAGGCAGGGAAAGGTAGAGAAGTGGTAGTTCACCAGTTTTTAGCTTCCATTAAATCGGATCCCTCACCCGTTTTCTTCTGTCGGTGGTGTCTTGCAGGCCTCGTCCTGATTTCTTTTACCGCTGCTTTCCTGACGGGGTTTCGAATGAGGAGATGCATTGCACTGGAGATGCTAGCCTGGTGTCAGAAGGCAGGAAGAGTTTCCCCAGCATCCATGCTTCCTGTAAGTAAATTAGAACCTTATCACATTAAATCAGCTGAACCCACATAGGAACCCAGAGAATCACTATGAAAGTGGTTCCGAAGTTCCAAATAGTTCAATGGAGACTTTGGGCCATATTTATCAAGGCAAGACAAGTGATAATCTGGGGCAAAGTGCTCAATATGGATTATTCATTGTGGAAACAAAGAATGTTCAAGGATCGATTCCTTAGAAAAACACCCGTATTGCAATTATAAATATAGCCAAACATCACTGGAGGAAAAATTTGAATTAATTGCATGTATGCAATGGAAATTGTATTGGTTTGTGTGTTTCTTTGTGTTTTTGTGTTTGTCTGTGTTTCCAGTCTTTCTGATGGATGGAATTCACAATCTTCTGATAGATACTAAGAAAGATTTTTCCTTAAGATAAAATAACCACTCTTTGTGGACTTTAACATTAATGGTAATGCTATAATCTCAGATTCAGTTTGCGATTAAACCTGACTATCATACATTGTATGGTACAGTGGCACAACAACCACACTGCTACATTTGTATCCCATCATTACTATCCCTTATTTTTGACATGTAGAGATTTTAGACTCTGATGGACTTATAGATCTATTTGTGTACTCTTATTTTATTAGGCTACATTTGTTTTTATATTTTATTTCTAGGGTTATATTTATTCTTCCCCACCCTCCATTTTTTTTCTCCTGACTTAAATATCATCTCACATTAGTGTAAAATTATATTTAAGTGAGGAGAAAAATAAATAAATAAATATCTGTCATCCGGTGAAGACGATTGTACCTGTCCAGATGGAAATGACTAGTGACTGAGAGGACAAAAGATGTTATAAATATTATTATGTCTGACAATCTGCTAGAGTGGATTTTCAAATTACTCTTGTCGATCTAGTAGTGAATAATTGAAAATTAAATTTGATTGGATTTATTTGGAAAGAATGGGCTCCTCTGAAGGTGAAGGGTTCGCAATGTGAGTGCTATAGAAATAAGTGTTATTATGTTTTGCCATATTGAGGGAATTGCTTTCTAAATGGATTAATTGGATTTGTAGAAAATGCACGTGGATGTGTAGAGGAACGATGCACAATGAATTCTAACGATACATTGTCTCATCAAGAGCATGACTGTTTCATTGTGATGATAAAACGTACTTGTGGAGGAATCCGTGCCTGCTATAAGAGAATTATTACAGCTGTTGCATATGATGTAGAATTGTGATTTTTATGTTTCTGATACTATCCAGTTTAGTATGATTCTTTGGAAACAAGACGTGATATTCTAAGATATAGAAACATAGAATGTGACGACAGATAAGAACCATTCGGCCCATCTAGTCTGCACAATTTTCTTAATACTTTAATTAGTCCCTGGCCTTATCTTATAGTTAGGATAGCCTTATGACTATCCCACGCATGCTTGAACTCCTTTACTGTGTTAACCTTTACCACTTCAGCTGGAAGGCTATTCCATGCGTCCACTACCCCCTCTGTATAGTAATACAGACTATTATTTTTAAATACTTGGGGCTAGGGTTTCACATATTAATATAGGGGGGTTCATTATATCTACATCTTAGCGGGAAGGTAGATAACGGTTGATAGAGTGACTGTTTTATTAGACCGGGCAATGGACAAATGAAACTGCTCATGGATGGAACACCTCACTGATTTTAGTGATGCTAACAACCCCTCACTATACTAAAGGCTTATGTACAGTGCCACTGGCTTGCGCCAATATTGGTGATACTTCATGGATCCCTACCGGGGGGTGCTGTCCTGACTCCCATGATGGTAAATGCAGCACAATTCTTTTAAAGGACTTCCTTCCCGATGTGGGTTTTACGGTTTTATGCGATATGTGTTATGGGTTACAATTGTTTGTATTTTGCACTTTTTCTACAATGTCATCTTACTGTACTTTAATAATGTACGCGCTTTGTATTTTTCTGACGATATAGAATAAAAAAAGAGATTGACAAAAAAACATTGGTGTATAACACACAGTTTGCAGCTGAAATTGGTGATACAGTATCTGGTTCTGGCTTTCTATAATTGTAACAAAAAAATCAGGTTAGACGTATGATTTGTAATGCTGCACTGTAACTTATGTCGTTATTCACTATACCAGAAAAAAAACGTGATTGGACCTGAGACTTGTAAAACAGCCATATGTTCTACTTTTAGTTATTTCAGCTTCATCTGGGAATTCACTTATCAGCTGTCCACAGATCATTTGTAAACATTAAAGGGACACTATAGTCATCCAGACCACTTCAGCTCAATGAAGTGGTCTGGGTGCCAGGTCCCTCAGGTTTTAACCATTCAGATGCAAACGTAGCAGTTTCAGAGAAACTGCTATGTTTACATTTGGGGTTAATCCAGCCTGTAGTGGCTGTCTTCCATATTATGCCTCTATCGCAGAGCGTCCATAGGAAAGCATTGAGCTCCTGTGACGTCAGACAGGGGAGCTGACGTCGGCGGGGGAGGAGAGGTCACCCGGCACTGGATTAAGGTAAGTGGCTGAAGGGGTTTGGAAACGTAAGGCAAACTGCAAGTGTGGGAGTGGTGCGTGATAGTGGACTTAGAGAGCAAAATGAATTATTACCGTATGTCCAAACAAAGTTAAAAAGATGTATCGTAAAAAAAGATAAAAATCTACCCAGTATAACTATTATTTCACTGATACATTGTCCCTTTGATAATACATCATAGCATGTTATTAAATTTAAATAGGTCATACCTTGTTTCTCAACAATTTGAATGGTCCATTTAACCAGATGAAAAGGAAAAACATTAAAAAAAAGTATTGAAAGTGAAAAATTAGCAAAGGGCTTCTTCTTGTGTGATTTTAATTTTTTAGTTGATTATTGGAGATTTCTTACCACATTCCTAACATGCAACACCTGAGAATAATGTGTTGCTATGATCTTTTAGAAAAGTGAGACATAGTTCAGAGCTGAAGGAAGATCATCTTTCACAGACCTTTATAAATCCCCTTCAGGATGTAAGTAGCCGTTTGGGAAAACCAATGCTTTAAGATAAATGGCTTGCTACATTGTCAGCTGCAGAGGTTGTCTGGGGAGATGGAGTAATCTACTCAGAATTTAGCTGTTCCAAAGAACAAAGAAATCATGATAAATGAGATTCTCTCCCATTACCTCCTATGTTGTCTAATTGAAACGGAAACTACATTTTAAAATGATCTTTGATACATTTACGAGAGATATATAATATTTATCCAAAAGTGAGCCTTGCCCGTCACTGACACAACTACACTTTGCATATCAGAAGGTAATTTGGAAAACGAAAACTCAGAACATTAACAATTTATCAAGGACAAACTGAGCTATAATGGAACAGCAGCATACCTATATCCCTGAATATTCCACAGTTCACCAGTCTTTCTCTTGGTTTCCTTTGATGTATGTTAAGCTGGTGATTTCTATAATAGAAAAAATGAAAACCCAGAAATGAGAAATATAGTGTATGTATGCATTGATGGGGGAGGGGGCTACATGGCCTGTGCAGGGGACCTGAAAAGCCATGGGTCTAATTTTGGCACTATTTTATTGTTTGCCACAAGTATAGTACTTAACAAGAAATGAGACCTTCAGTTATATAATTTGTGGCAGTTCCACTATATAACATTATATTTGGTGTTGATTTTATACTATATATTGACTAAAGTAACAGTTTTATTATTAACAAATGGTCTGTGGACAACTTAGAAGTTGTGAGGGTACAGGTGTGGGTGCAAAGTTTGAAAGGTACACTCTAGGCACCCTAACAGCTTCACTGGAATTAAGTTGTTATGGTGCAAGAAGGTTCCGGGCACTAAGCTTACCTCAAGGGGATAAATTAATTATTTAACCTCAAAGTTTTCAGTTTTGAGCCCATTAGCTCTGCCCCTGTATTTCCTTTCTTTGTCCAAGGCTTCAAACAGGATGCCTCGGAATGGGCACCACGCAAAGGCTGAGAGCATCAACTCGACCCATCAGTAGCTCCCAATTCATAGAGCAGTGAGAGAAAAATACATACATTTCTTGCTCTGTTTTGCGAATGGTGACCTACTGATAGACTGGTCTGACAAAGAAATGAAGATCAGGGGCAGAGCTAATGTGGACCAGACTGAAATCTTTGGAGATTAAACCACTCTTTCTTGAGATAAGCCAGTGCCTGGGACCCCCTCTCACCATATCAGCTTTATTGCTAGTGTCTATTTCGTGTAGTGGAACCATCTAACAATGCCCTTTAAGCTTTCCTCCTACTCATTCTGATGCCCAAATTAGGATTGCTGTAGTGTCTCTCCACACTTAGTGTTATTGTCATTATACACATGTTTAGATAATATGAAAGGGGGCATCAGGCACCTAATTCACCTAGGGCACCAGACACGCTTAGGCCAGCCCGGCTACTCTGAAGAATATAAAAATGGTTATACCATACACATCGATGAAAAGCTGTATACTCATCATAAGTACACCATGTGTAGCAGTGAAAGGCGATCAGGGTTATCTACTAAAGTAGGAATTAGTGAAATTCAAATGTATGGTCAAAATATTGGAACTGGAAACAATCTCCAAATCAGCTATGCTTTCAGTTTAGCTACTCTGCCATTGAATAGGAAATTCAGTCTGATATAAATGGTGTTTTTATGAGGAGCGTCCTCTTGTAGCCTGGTTGGCCAAGGAGCTGTCATTTGTGACTCTCCAGGGTCTGTCTCTGTGAACCATGTGGGTGCAGATTAGGAAAAGTGTTGCCAAGAAATATGTCAAATTCATACGTTTTCAGAGAGAAACCAATGAATCAATAAATAGAACCCAAAGGGAAAACAAAACAAAACATTGGTTAAATAATGTATTTCCAGCTATTTTATAAAAGCCTGAAAGCCATTTTTATGTGCTACACCAGTCTAAAGGAGTTACGAGTTCTTTGAAAGGAAAGAATCCAGAGAATCTGAAATTAAAGTTATACTTTACACAGTGCTATGTTTTCTGTACTGAGTGAGTAATGTATATTCGGTGTCAGTATGACAGTGGTAATAACAGTTCAGCCATGTGCATGTGTGGGGTACAGGAGATGTGTGGATGTGGGTATACCTAGCGCAAGAAAACCCATAAATAAATCATTGAGTACAAGCAGTGGAACTTGGCTTATATTGCAGGCAGAATTCTCATACTGAACTTGACTGCTGTGTTAGAAGAAAAAAAGATAAGAATCGAGACAAAACCAGCAAAGAAGCTGCTTGTAGGAATTTAGTAAAAGTCCTCCATGCCACGTGGTTGACAAGGATGGACCTGAGATTGAAAGTGATGAGGAGAATTGGGATCGATGAAAGTGAGAACTGGTCTTCGGAAAGAGGGGCGTTATGAGAAGAATTTAGTCCACAAGAGCCAAATTATAAAAATTCTCCAAGTCGGATATGTTTTCAGTTTGGTTATTCTAGTTTATAATTTGAAATCCACTTTGGATTCACTTTAAACCCATGAGGATTCACACACTAATGAAAAACCCTGTTCGAGTGAGCTTGGAAAAATGGAAAGGGGCTTGTACAGATCTCCATTTTACCATCACCATTAAAAAGCTTTACCCTTGTCTCTGAAATTCCCATAATGGGAATATCAATTCTTTCCTTCCATAACCTCGTTAGGTTCTCCCCAACATTTAGAACCCCATAATGCATGCTGTCTAGTGCACCTTTCCCTGTTTTTACTTGTGTTCGTTGTTCCAAGGGCTCTCAAATCCTGCTGTATAAATTATTTGTCAAATCCTGCTGTATAAGTTATTTCTGTCTGTCAAACAGTGTTTTACAATGTTTCGTTTATACCCTTTATTAGTGAATCTTGTGCTGTGCACTCGGCTGACTCCATATAAATAAGTGATGATAATAATGATCAGACACTAGAACACTGTTTCTGTTGTCTAACTGGATGAGCACTTAGAAAGGTTTTAGATTTCTGATGTTTGTGCTTGTAAATCCAAATTTATTGGAGAAAATTGAAACAATTTCCTTTCCTCTGAACCAGCAATTTATACAAATATGGAATACTAGGCTTTATTTAATAAACCATTTTATAATAAAATAAAGATAGAAACCTGCATTGCTTATTTTTTAGGTTAAAGCGTTTTAACTGCTGACACAGTGTACAAGTTCATCTACTCATACCTGAGAATTCATTCCCTTATAAAAGTGAAAACACTGCTCCAGCAATCACTATGCAATTGCCTATATTACTAAATCCCAGCTGTATTGTCCATGCTACTCCTACTTTAGCTGAAAGCTGTGATGGCTCTTGTATCTAGCTAAGCTAACCTGCCTAGGCAGGAATAGCACACACTTCACTCCCCTTGCATTGCCACGAGGAGAGCATCGCTCTTTGGGTACAGTTTTAAAATAGAAATGTCAATGGTCCCTGAATATCTTAATTTAACCATGAGTTTGATCTGTCGATCAGAAGGATTACTCTGGGTAGCCTGGGTAACCAGGTAGGGTTTAACAAGCTGGTCAATAAACAAAGAGAGATCGCCAGGCTTCCTACTTCTCACCCAATATGTAACAGGTAAAGGGTTAGTATATTGTGCAGAGACCACACAATGCTTTTGTCCTCCCATTCAATACAGCATTTGAATAAATAGATACATTTGGGCATTGTATCTTCAAGACCCTCCATGACTCAATCGCTCTACCATCTTCCAGTAAAACAAGGACCAAAACAGTCCATGCTGTATTGGAAGATGATGACTGTTGGACAGATACATGAATAATAGCCCACAAGCTGTTTGGGTCATTACCCAGTTGTACATAAAATGTAATTTATGTGCCTAACTAACCACTACATACTACCTGCTTTTAAGAGAGAAGACATCTTTACGGACATTCTCCCTGCATTATGTTGTTGGGTCTTGCCAGTACTCTGAGCCAGTGTTAATTTTGGAAGCAAATTTCAATTTGGTTTTAGTCATAGTCTTTTGACTAAAAAGCTATTTTAGTTTTAGTAGTATTTTATTTATTTTCTATGTATTCATTTTCTCCCTCAAAAACAGCTTATACATTGAATAAGAAGGTATTTGCATATCATATACACAATTGTGGTAACAATAACATTGTCGGCCTCATGTGAGGAATGGTTCATATTACAAGACATTACAGTTTATATATGATACACTACTAGGATAGACTTCATTATGATTGGAGCTGTTGATACTAGATTCAACTGTATGTAGTTCCGATTCTGGTTTGATAGGTAATATCGGTCAATAACACGTGAAATACCCGTTGTCCTACTCTGTGTTTGGGAGCATAAGGCTGATTTGTTGACATACCCCTTATACACTTCTGACATGTGTAATATGTTCTACTAACAACATGAACTTAAAATACTTAACTGATATAATTATAAAAAGGAAACAAAAGCAGTTTTCTACATTTAGACAGTGAAATAACAAAACAGTGTAATTTCAGTGCCTTTCTGGGGGGCTTACACGCAGCTAATCCCCTATTGTGCCAGGGCCGACTGTGGACCGGGTGTTCTATGCATCATTATCATGTTGGCTACTGGAAAGAAGGTTGAGGTAGAGTCGACATATTTAACTGAAGTGTAACAGACCACCTATACTCCGCCCTAGTATGTCTGTTATGAAGCTCCCAAATGAAATAGTGATTATAGCTCCCAAGTCCTCAAACAGCAGCCTAGACTTGATGAAGGGGTAAAACTGATCTGTTTAATCAGTGCTCAGTGGCCCACCTTTATACAGTACAGAGACTCAGCAAACACGCCCATGACACTCCTATAAACGCACCCACAAAATGTCCCCAAATTCCAGTGTCCCCATGACTAGGCAATAATTACATAAAATAAGAAAATACATAAAAACACATAATAAATACATAGGAACTCCCACAAATATTACATCCCTGGATAGCCTGGAACTGAGCGCCTAAATTGTCCAAATAGCGCTCAGATCCCACAAACACAGCCGAATTGCCACCCGGGTAAAGTTTTGACCGACCGCTCATGAGGCGTCTGCCCAAACTAGTTCCATAGTTTTAGAGGTAGCTATCGGTCAATTTCAGGAGTTCCAAAGTACACAAAAATGCAAACGGTTTCCATGGCTCATAGGTAGTGTTCTAGTCCATACAAACAAACCTACCGAACAGCGCTTTCCTGGCTTGTCGTGGAAAGAAGCAGGTGTTTGGATGGCTTCACCGATGTTCGTGCAGTCGAGTGTCCGTCTTAGAGTTCCAGACACTCGACGACCAAGTTCCGCTGCCTGCGTTCGTGCGACAAGTTGGGCGCCATTTTTTCCACCACGTGGCTTTCGGTTATATGAACGGCGGCCACACAGAGAGAGCACTTAATTCTGCAGTTTCTTTGTACTTAATAAGCCAGGGGGGTGGTCAGTGTTTGGTAGTTTATTATACCGAATGCAGGGAAAGCATAAACGAAGCGAAGTCTAAGAACCCGATCAGGGAACTGATGAAGAGATCAGTTCCGGGGTGGCAAAATAGTGGGTTTTGTCACATGTAGTTATATTGAACAGAGAAAAGTCCCTGTGTCAACAGTTTAAGGAGTTATGGAGTCATTCTAAGGTAGGGTGAAGTCTATGATCTTGGGATAAAATCAAAAGCATTGTTATGCTACCCAGGGGGGAACAAAGGATTGGAAGTCAGTGGGTAAAGAGGGGAGGCGTATATAGAGAAGATTTAGAAATCCCTTACTTGCTTCCAAGTCTGCAGTGTTGGGGAGATTGTGGGACGGGAGGAGTGGCTTGTCAGTAGAAAAGTACTCCCGGACTGATGCCATGGGATCACGTGAAGTGGAGCTCTGAAGAAAGATTTCTCTATCATTACCCACTGTGTCTGAGGATTCGGATTTGTCCATTCATATATTCTATATGCTTTATAATATAGGCAGATATTAGGCATGCTGGGATTTAGCCCGTGTCAGGATCTCATAAGAAAGTCTTGGGTGCTTGTTGGATGCTAATGAAGTTGCGGGGGAGGTCAGCGTAAAAAACAGGTCATCTGCAAAGGCTACTATCTTGTATTCTTTTTGATTTATTTGGAATACCTGTATGTCTCTATTCTCCCTAATTTCTTTTGAGGAAGGGTTCCATCGTGAGAATGAAGAGAAGGGGGGGAAGGGGGTACCCCTGCCTCGTGCCGTTTGTGATTATCACTGGGTCTGAGAGTTGGCTATTAATTTTAAGTTTGGCTGTGGGAAAGGAGTAAATGGCATTTAGCTAAAGTGTCCAGTTAGAACTAAAGCCCAAGAAGTTTTAAAAAGGACACATCCACTCCGTCGATGCCTTTTCGGCATCGACCGAGAGAAGTAGGCTCTGGCTTGAATATGATTTAGAAGCATGGATAATATTTAGTAATTTGGTTGTGTTGTGTTTGGCTTCTCTTTTGGGAAAAAAGCCCGACTGGTCTTTATGTATCAAATCCTTTAATATAGGGCACAGTCTAGATGCCAAGATTTTGGTGAATATTTTTCAGTCCACGTTGATTAAAGATATCGGATGGTAGCTTCCGCATATCATGGGGTCTTTCCCCAGTTTCAGCAGAATCGTTATGTGAGCTTCTAGGGCTGCCGAAGGCAGCGAGTGATTGTTAGTGAGGGAGTTATATGCTTGCAGAAAAGGGTCTACTAACACCTCTGCGAAGGTTCTGTAGTATTTGGCCGTGAAACCGTTCAGTCCAGGGCTGTTGATTACGGGTACTGTATTGATTGTCTGCTCAAATTCCTCTCTGGTTATGGGAGTATCGAGGGTCTGTGCTAAATGTTGTGGAATAGTATGTGGTACTCTAGGAGAAGGGAAATCTTATCGTTTGATGTCTTTTTGAGAGAGAGGCGAATCCCGTAGATTATATAAAAGTCAGTGTAAAATTGGTGATAGGCCTCTATTGTGTCAGGTAGTGTACGGGATAACCCTTTATGTGAGTGATGGACCATGACTATGAACGTGTTTTGGTGACTGTGTTCTAGTGCATTTGCCAATAGTCGCCTGCACTTTCCACCCATGGAGTAGAACGATTGCTTTGCTAGTAGTTTACATTTAATTTGTGCATTTTAAACTTGTGATGAACGTTAATTCAGTCCCCTGATAATGTAGCAGCTCCTATAGGTGGTGAGAGCTTTATGCACATGGCAACTGTCCTTTAGTGGTAGGAAGGAGAGTCTGATCCCGTTGCCATCCCCGTTGTCGCTTCTGCTGGATCTGTACATCTCTTCTTTGTCTTCTACCGTCATCTCTGCCTTTGTGGTAGTTGAAGGATCACAGGCAGGGAGGGTGGGCCATACCAGCCAGTCTAAGGCTTGCTGCAACACTGGTACATTTAGGATCGTATGGATGGTGTGTAATGCTCCTTTATATGTGGCACTTACGGCAAAAGGAAAGCCCCATCTGTACTTAATATTCCTGTCTCTGAGTTGGTCAGTAAGCGATCTGAGGGATCTTCTGGCCTGTAGAGTTAGCCATGAAAGGTCTGGATGAATACTAATAGGCTTGTTATGAAATAGCAGAGGTTGAGATGAGTGCTGTAGGGCTGCTAATATATCGTCTTTACATTGGAAGTAATGCAGCCTGCAGATTATGTCTCTAGGCTTATCTGCCACTATCCCTTTAGGCTGCAGGGCCCTGTGTGCTCAGTCTAATAGCACCTGAGAATCAGGTGGTCTGTTCAATATAAGATTAAAACGTTCTTTCAGAGCCTGTGGTAAGTCTTCTGAGTCTTATATCTCTTGAGTCTTGTTCAGGGAGCCCTCTGATCCTTAGATTATTGCACCTCCTTCTGTTATCTATGTCATCTAGGCTGCGTTGGATGGCTGAGAGGTGAGTATTTTGGGCTGCCACTGTATCTTGCAAGGAGTGTAGCTGAGTATACATGACATCCCTGTCATCCTCTAGGGAGCGCCACCCGGTCACCCATGTGGCATATATCCGCTCCAATGGTGTCTAGCATGGTCTGAAATGAGGCCAACATATTGGCCAGGTCCTGCTTTGAGGACATATTCCATGGTAAGTCCCATACCTCCAGGTCTGACCCATGGCTGATGTCGGATTCTGCTTGGCTAGATGGTGGGGAGGCGGTTTGCGGTGAGTTCGGCACCATATTGTGGAGTGATTGGCTCGCATTCTGATCCCCATTATTGCGGAAATATTTAGTCAGTGCACTGGTTTTCCCTGCCGGTGTCTGCAGGAGGTGCCCTGAGACGAGGTGCACCTTTTAAGGTGCCCCTTGGTGCGGATGAAAGACCAATTGCTTTGGATTCCTCACTGTCAGTTGAAGATCTCTGTTAATTCAATCCAGTTGGTGTTTAGCTCTGCCCCCTTTAGTCTTATTTTAGTTAATCTGAATTGTTTTAGTCTAGTTTTAGTCGTCAAAATCTCAAGTAGATTTTAGTCATTGCCGGACTGGGAACAGAAAGCAGCCCTAGAAATGAATAATTCCAGCCCTCTAATTCATGGTGTCACATAGTATGCTTGTATTTTTTATATGTCTCTGCTTTGGAAGAATTTTTTCTTACCTGCAGCCCCTCGCTCCAGGTGATCCATGGGTGTTACAGTGCTGTAACACCCACCCTCCAAGCCGCCCCCTGTTGTGATTGGCTCTGCTTGGGGACAATTCTTTAAGCAGGGCAATAGCTTTAGATGTGTGAATAGAGAATCATTCTGATCTCTCAAGGTCAATCTCGGATCTTGGTCCCAAAATGTTTATTTAGAACGTTTATTTTGTAGGAGAGGAAAGTGAGCATTACAAACATACAGTTTGAGTTCCCTACTCTTGTTTCACATCTCATCGATGTTAACAGAATGCAGTGGAATGCACTACTTATCAATAAAGCGTTATCCTGGTGACTTTTATATCTCCTATACTAAGACAAAGCATTCTGTTTTGACTTCAATGCAGAAATTAGCTAGCAATTGGGAATATTGGATTTCCCTGCAATAATAACCTAATTTGGTTAGCATAAAGAAGAACTGAATTAACTTTAGTATTTGTGTTACTTACTAAGTCAATCCCATTCTGTTTGCCCTATTTGCAAATACAAAAGTAATAATGGAACTAATTTTATTATCTTTTGTTTATTTAATCATTTTACATGTTTAGGAAAACTGAGTATTCAAGAGAAATGATCAGTGTACATATTCTATTAATATATCATTACTATACCATGCAATGTTAAGAGAACAATAATACATTTATTCATAAAATGTAACACTGCCTATGGTGAATGGTGCCTGGTACATACAGTGCCTTAGGATATACACAAGCACTACATCTTCTTGACTATAATATATATTACAGCACCTCTGGGCAGATTTAATATTCCCATATTATTACATTACCCTGCTAATGCTGTGCAAGAATAAAATATTAATAATTAATAAGATTTCTTTTGCTTGCCTCCTATCTTTGAACTTCGCAGTGGGTGTTAAAATAAAAACGTGTCCAATAATATATTGATATCACGGGGTGCATGTATCAAAGCAAGGTCTGCCCAACCTTGTATAAATCATGCAGAAAAGGCACTGGAGATTGTATAACAAATGTGCACGCAGTCAATTTTATTCAGGACTAGTCATGTTATTGGGTCACTGGGCAACCGTTATGTTTCAATGATGAAAGGAGAAAACAATATCCAAGATATATTGCGTATTGCTCTGTACGTGATAAACAAGTGCCCATAAAACACTTCTTTTCCTGCGGGTGCAAAACTGCATGGAGCCCGAAGTAGCAAAACTTTAGAAAATCTGATCTAATTCTGCAGCTTAGAAGATTAACCAACAGGGTTCAAAACAGAAAATGTTGTTAATTATTGTCGAATTGGCAGTCTGATTGCATTGCATTACCACCATGTATTACAACATATTACAATAACAAGTCTATTGCATAAGGGTCAGATGTGTCCCTATTTAGGAGGGACAGTTCTTATTTTGGGTCTAAATCTCTACCGTTTTCTCTAGGAGTTCAATATTTTTGGTGTGTCTGAGCGCATAACACTCCTGGTGCTCCTCCTACCTCACCCAGCGCTCTTTTAGTGTCTCTTTCTCTGGCTCTGCTTTTTCCTCCCAACCTCTCTCTGTTGGTGTCCCCCAAGGATCAGTCTTTGGTCCGCTACTGTTCTCGATCTATACTGCCTCGCTTGGTAAACTTATCAGCACCTTTGGCTTCCAATATCACTTCTATGTGGATGACACGCAAATCTATCTGTCCTCGCATGATCTCTCCCCGCCCCTCTTGACTAGTGTGTCTGGTTGTCTCTCTGTTATTTATAGCTTCATTTAATAGCGAACCTTTCCACCAGGAGGCCATTTTCAACCAGGCTTGCACTTTGTGACAACGTCATGTGTGACGGGTATGCCCCAAAAGGTTATATGTCTCTGGACGTCCAAACTCCTACCACCATGACCACTTCAATCACGGTGGTTGGCGTAACCTTTTAACATTTTTCCACTTACTGAGGTATTAATGTTTTACATACACACGTTATAGCTACTGAAACATGACACGCAGTATCGAAGACAGCTACTGAATGGTTAGAATGTGCTCCTGACAAACTAAATCAGTGTAGCATCAGCAGGTGTTTTCGCTAGATAATCTGGATCTATCAGATAGTCCCCTAGCTACATTTTCACTTCACTTGAGAAACAAGTAGCTCTCTTTTTATTTCACTTTCAAAAAGTGATATTTTGCCTTTTTGCACCTGCAGGGTTTTGGAGCAAAACACTTGAGATCTATACAGTTCTTTTTCCTAGTGCCACCTCTGTTGCTTGTGTTGCGTTCATAATTTATCATGCTTTGCTAGACCTTGAGTAGGTGAACAGCTGTTAGTCCCTGTGACCTGTGGGGGAAAATGAGAAAAGAGTGATTTTAGCAAGATACATTGTTTTGTTTTTTTAACCTTAATAATTATAGGTAAAGTTGTGCATTATAAAGGTAAACTGTACGTCCACATCCCATTACTTTACTGTTTGTCTATGCAACTTTTTCAGACACACTTGATCAGCAATTTGTGCAATTTTTCCCCCCCAACATTGCAGTCATGGCGCTAGCCACTAAGCTTGTTCCACTACGACTTTAAAACTTTACCTAAACAGATTTTTGTTCTGTCATAGATTCTGTTTTAATATCCGAGAGTGAATTTTTTTTTTGTTTGATTTCTTGGTATTTGGCCAAGTTGGTCTTCAGTTATTCTGTCCTCCTTTAATCCTTGAACTTGACTTGTATTAATTACATTCCATTGATCTCGGTGTGTTCTTGTTCAATATTCCTCTCCCTGTTTTAAAGGCTGTTTCACCCATCTTGGCAGTCTGTTCAATACAGGCATTTTAAGAACCGATAATACGCATCTGTCTGGTCTCCTCCTTGGATAGGGCTGATCTAAGTTATCATGTAAGGGTCATAATACGATCCTCCTTACATTGGGTGATCAGACTCTGGAGACATTCAAAGGGAAAGTTTTTATATATATATATATATTTTTTTTTTTTTTTAAATCATCTTTACTATTATTATTCATCAAAACTGCAATATATGTTACTAAGTTGTATTTTCAACTGGAATGCTACAAAAAGAATTACAAAGTGAAAATAAAAATGAAAGGTGACAATGTATTATATAATCATTTTGTGGTGGAAACCTCCTACATAAACATAATGTCTTATGTGAAAGTAAACTATATTCCTAATTCTCATAATTAAATCTTTGCTTTGACCATGGAAAATATGTAATCTAGACAGCAATAGGAATACATTAAAGCAGTGTATGAATACACATTCTTTGACACATTGGAGAGGATTGCAGAGTTTGATAAGGGTATTATGTCAATACAGGGCCGGCCCAAGACATTGTGCTCCACCGGGGGTGGTTCCTCTGATAGTGTCCCCACTACCTGGCTGATTGTTTCCCAGAATGGTGTGATCAGTCTGCATGTCCACCATATGTGAAGGAATGTGCCCCTTTCATTTCCACAACGCCAACAGATGTCGGGTACTTCAAGGTCTCTTCTGTGTAATGTGGACAGAGTCAGGTACCATCTCGTAAAGATTTTGAAGGAGTTCTCATGTACTTGCACAGATGTCAGTGTCTTCTGTATGAGGACAAACATCTTGTCCCAGTCTGCCACTGTGAATGTCTGCTCTAGGTCCTCCTCTCAACTTCTCATGCAGGGCGGTGGTAATAAGTAGCGGTTCACCACTAGCATATTGTATATTATGGAGACGCTTTTAGGGGTCATAGTGTCCCGTACTTGAAGTTCGTTAATTCCTTGATGATACACGGTCTTTGTGGAATAGAATGGATGTATCTTATTATCTGCAGCCTCCCCGTGGAGTGGAGTAGGATGTGAGTCATGTCAGGGAATAGTTTGGCCATCATTCGGACAGTTCCACCCTGTCCCAAGACGTCCTTCACTCTGGGGGCAGTGGCTCCTCCCAGCTTTCCTCCCATGGCGCCCTGCATTCACGCCGGGAAGTCCAGGTTGTCCCGTAGAGGGAGAAGGGGACTTGGCTATGTCGTCAGGTAATGTTTCGGCCCGTATCTGTGCCATAGGGTCAGTGTCACGTTGACGAACAGGTTCTGTGCAGCTACCCCACTGCCTCCTTTCCCGTTTATCCATGGCAGGGCTCTGAGGTCGGTTCGTGTGCATATTGCCCCACCCCGTCCTATAGATGAGCTGGCCCTGTGTCAATATATGTAGTAGGGACCTTAAAATTTACTTGGGCTGAAGTCCCTGGCCTTTTTGTCACTTAGCAACACTCGAATCTAAGTCAATTCTATGTTTGTTCTTATATCTCTGGAGCTAGATAAAAGGCCAGTATTGCTTAAAAATATAAATATTCAGTGGTAAAATAGATACTTATGTAATTGTTAAACATTTACATTTTTTTTTTTAATATACTGCGTTGTCCTTCTAAGGTTTCTTCTTGTTGAGCCCTTTGTGTCTTTTTCTAGAGCCCAGAACATGACCTTTCTACAATGCATAGTATTATGATCTGTTATGTTTGTATCCTGCTAACAGATACCATCTTTTTTATATATATTATACTTGACAGGCAATTGTACATTTTAATGATCCAAACCTATCCGTGTACGAGTCACCTTCACAGGACTGACTCAGATAGGAAAACAAGATTCATGGTGATTAGTGATCTGTAAAATCGATCCAATAACAATATACTACTTCTAGTGCTGTCAGGAAGTTAACAGATTCCATACCACCGACCCATTTCTCTTACACCAACCATATTATTCTACTTACGGCATTATTGGATTTAACATTCTGAATGGTTTCACACTTACAATGATTGTGCGGAAAGTGCCGTGCTTATTCTAGCTTTCATGAAGTTGTTTAGATGTATGGCCGGGGACATCGGCAAACGTACACATAAATAGAACTGAGAAATAAAACCGAAATGGAAAACAAAGCAGAGTGCCACACTGATATGAAGTCTGTGCTACAGATCAGTAAGAAAAATTCAGGAAAAAAAACAAACGATGATGTGATTAGAAAAAATGAAATTGTGTTTGTCTTATTTAAAAAAGTGGATCTATTTACTACACATTTAAAGTATCATTCGCAGTGAGAGTCCAATGGTATAGTGCCTTTCCCTTGGGTTCTGGAAATGATTGATTTTCACATCAGACACTCATGAAGTCTTCATTTTGCTGGGAATCAATGTTAAGACAGAATGCAAAAAAAAGTGTCCCACAAAAACACGATGGTGATACATCAGAAATGAGCCGCTACCAATATTTATGTGGAGCTTATGAAAATAAACCGAATCACAAACCAACCAGAATGTGCAATGTACATCATATTTGTTTTGCTTAAAGGTTCTAAATTTCACTTGTTGTGCAAAAAAGAGATAACTGATGGGGGGAGAGAGGTTAAGGATAGTAATGAGACTGAACCGAGCTGAACCAGCATATGGCTGAAATTCATGTGTCCTGAAATTTTGTTTTCTATTTTCAGGAAAAATGTCTCAGCCAAGCTGAATTTTCCCACCATGGCCAAGTCTAATATTAAGTAATTACATTTGCCATAGCTTTAATTAACTCTTCATCAGGATGGTTTGCACTTTAACCAACTGCCAGCCACTATAACCACTATAGCACACTATAGTCTTTATGGTGCCGGGATACCTCTGCCATCAGACCATGGTAGGTAGTCTAACAGTTTGATACTTACCTGGCAATTCCCACGCGCCTATGGTCCGGGCCTGTCTTCAGATATGTCTAAAACAGAACTCTCTACTTCCACGAAGTGACATAAATTCTGCATTTCTGGATTCATTGTCTGAGAAAATCAACTAACTACATACCGTGGGATTGTGCTAGGACACTACTAGCACTATAACCACGACAGCACATGTCTTTAATTGATCTCCCACAGCTGTTAAAAGTAATAAAAGACATAAAAAAAATACAACACAAGCAACAACAAACACCTAATTCAGCTGAAATGGGGAGTTAAGATAAGAATACAAAGACAACGTTCTGAAACTCTGCTGTCGTAGAACAAAAAGACCATGACCACAAACCCATATCTTGCAACATATTCTTTAGAGAACATAACTTAAACTGTTTATTCTTACTTTCATGCTCGGTGAATATGAGCATTTAATAGGCTCCGCATAGCTTTGTAAATTGCTAAGTGATGCCTAAGTTCTGAAGCTAAATGTCTGCACTGACATAGAAGTAAATGATCCCTTGAAGCACGGCAGGTATTACAAGCACATTGATTGCTGCAGGGCATAGTTAAATTTGGACTACTGCCTTTTAACCGCAGTACTGCAAGAAATTAGATCTACATGGCCTGTGAAGTTGGACTTGGGTTTTAAAGACTAATATTGTTAGGCAATTTCTGTTAAAGCGTGGCACCCATCACTTCCTTTAAGAACATCTATAATAAGTGAGTCGCATCAAGAGAGTTATAGTGTCTCTATTGAAAATTCTCAAATAGGAAAAGAAACAAATGGAAATAGGGAATTTAAAACCTCACTCTACTGTCTAACAGGCCCCCAGTAAAAGCCAATGTAAGGGTAAAAAGAAGAATAGTAACTAGATACATTCTAGTAAAAAGCCAGGAGTGATGTAAACGAATATAGTAAATAGGAGACAATAAATTGTGTATACAAACTTGGAGACAATATGTACAAATTGAAAAGACTGCAAATAAGGTACAAAAAGGGTGCAAAAAATGAAACGTGAATGGAATGAATGAATGACTTGAGCTATGCTATAAAATATGCAATCTTAGTCCTGGATAAATAAATGAATGAAAAGAAGTATCAGCTCTTTGATACTTGAATAATGGTACAATGTATCTAAAATAAGTGTCTGCCTGAGTCAGAAACTCTCAACTAAAGACCCAGATGGGATTGCTCTGTAACCAGGATAAAATGTTACAGTACTGGCAGATAATATTCACAGAAAATTATAGGAATCTTTACACTAATAGACCATTGTAATAGATCTAAAGTGACTGGATCCTCACATCGATCTTAACTAAAAGGCCATAGTGCTCACTGTAAAGCACTAAGGATTAAAAACACTCACATTTGTGAAGTAAGAGTCAGGCATATAAGAAACACGCAGGCTGGAATCTTGAAGTGGATCTACAGCTTCATCACTCTGGCTGACTCGGAGACAAGTACAGATGGAGACCTTGTTCGAGGTGTCACGTGCGTTCCACTGCTCTCTCCTTCTGCGTTCCACTGTAACCCGGTAACGGAATGTTTTTTGCGACAGAGGCTTTACTGCATCTCTATGAAGAGGTTTGCTGATTGGCCAAGCCCGCATTTGGTGCCGCCCCCATCCCACCCCTTGCCAATGTCAGCCAATCCAATGCTTTCCCATAGGGCTGAAATCATACATTTTGATGTCAGGAAGGAGATGGAGTGGAGGTGGGGCCAGCGCCAGCAGACCCGCATGGTGGTGGAAATAAGGTAAGTTTTATACCTTCTTAAAGAGACTATGGGGGGGGTAAACTAAATTATAGTTTTAACACTATAGGGTCAGAAATACATATTTGTGTTCCTGACCCCATAGTGTTCCTTTAAGGCAAATAGGTGCTATTTTTGGTGCTAACTGATTGGTTTCCATAATAATTGCTCCTTCTTTAGCACTTTAACCCAGAATAGCCCTTTCTGCACCGTGTTAAATCTCTCCTTTGTTCTAAAATTCCCTTTTTTTTAAATTCATGTTTATGATTGTTACAGAATCATTGCTCACAATTCACATATAAATGTAAAACTGTGTATGTATATATATTTGTATATATATATATATATATATATAGAGAGAGAGAGAGAGAGAGAGAGAGAGAGAGAGGGAAAGTAAACTGTAGTGGTTCTGGTGACTATAGTGTCCTTTTAAGTACATAATTTTTTTTTTTTTAACCAGGTGAAAATGTGGGTTAGTGAAATCAGAGACATGTATATTAGTAACTGAGCATCAGGAAAAGGCTGAACTTCAAGACGTAGCAAAGAAGAACTTATTCCAGAATGTGATTGGATAACACAGTACAATTACAGTCCTTCCACCCTTCCCAATGTCATCGGGACAGTTCTTTATTTTTGGCACTGCCACGCCATTCATGATTTAGTTCCCTGATGTCCCACTTTTGGAGACACCGGGGAACTGTCCCCAACAGGTAAACCATGAGTACATCAATAAACTCGCTCACACTATATTCAGATCTTATGATCTCCCTGCTGGACAGTGCATTATGTGGTGCCCGGATTAGGGTATGCCTTGGCACATGTGGCCCACCCTGTGCATCAAATCCAATGCTCTATATAGAGGAGCATTGGGGACCTGATGCACATGCGCGGCAAACGAGCTGAAGTGGCCCACGTGACTTTAGTGATCCTTTAAGTACTAGTGCAGTCTGCAGTGCATGGCTACATTCATTGACAACTGGAAAAGTTAATTTCAAAATTAGCATTACAGTCCAGTTACCTATTACACCCTCAAGGCAACCACATTTTGTTGAGATAGAAAAGTTGCATGCAATTAATTTGTTAATAATATTACATTTTTACTTGTACTTTTTCTCTTGCAAAACTGGGAGAATATTCGCTTTATTAACCAACGGGAAGCCAAAATTCTATAATTAAATATCTTTTTATCATGGGCACAAATGGCTCATTGTTAAAATATCTTCCCAATCCTTTGATATCATTTATTTATTAAAGCTATGTGTTCAGTAACACAACTAAAGGGTTACTGGTTTTTGTGATTTTTTTTTTTTTTTATTATGTGTAGAGCTTACACATATCATACGCGGGCGGAATGGTTATTAGGAAGATTTCAGCTTGGCTGCCTGAGCTGAACCTGTTGCAAGGATAAATAGGAAGATGGAGCTTCGGAGATTGTCAGCACATTTATCATCTCGTAGCATCATACTTCTAAGTGTTATGAAAATATGACTAATTTCCCGGAGGTGACAAGACAATTTGTGTCATTTTGTAGCTTCTGGAGCTCTGTAATTGAGGCTAGCCCTAGGACTGAAATTGTTCATTATCTGCAGCTGATAATTACTGGGAAGATGTTTTGATCTATTTTACCAGTGATTAAAGAATTGTAGTTGTTTCTGAGCTGTCACTGCGAGTTCCGGTTGTTACATTTGTGTAGTGACCGTGCTGTGCGCAGAATTGCTTCTGGCAAGTCTTTGTGCCAATATGGCTTAATAAATATGTACGTAAAAGGCAATACAAAGGGGGGGAATTGGCATTGTGCTGTGAAAAAAAAAATTTCTGCATATAATCCTGCCTATTCATCAGCTGGCAAATGGGGTTCAATATTTTTGCTCTGGTTTTATTTCTTAATAAATATACATGTAGGGTTATTCTCTAAACCTGTAACTGATCTGGAAATTACAAATTTTAGGTAAAAATAGCTCATCTGGAGAATTTTTCCAGTTTGATTACTTGGTGTAAAATTTTATCTACTTTTCCATGTCAATTCTCCACAATTGTGAACCATTTCATGCATGTACATACGCTGGTCATAAGGTATTCTAAATAAATGTATGCTACGTTTTATGCTATTTTATGGTCTTTGTTTGGTGAAGATTTTGTTTGAGGGAAGATTTCCAGTATTTAGCCTCCTCTAGATGCAAAGCAAATTAGGTATTAGAAGGATGCTTAAGATCATCTTAATGGTTATTCTGACACAACAATGTGAAAACTAAGGAAATTGAATATAAAACCAAAATCGCTAATCTTGGCAAAAATTATAATTTACGTGCTAATTAGGGGATTTTAAATAGCCTTGTAAGATTTAAAACTTTTTTTTCTTTTCACCTCACGTGCATAAGACATAACAATATGCCATGTAGCGAAGAGTCACGCTGTACATAATTAATATTTAGACCCATCCCTAAAAGCCCAAAAACACAATATATTATTTTACCATTTACTTTTCATTTTAGTTTAAACCTGCCCAGTAACAAAGAAAAAATAAATCATAAACAGAGTGGGTTACCGCTCCGAAAAATAATTGTTCAATTAATGACCAGTTGTCATGTGTCATTCCCTCTCCCCACTGCTGTGCTTTAAATCTACAATAAGCACAGTTACTTGCGCACGTGCTGGTGTGGCCCCATTTATGTAGGAATCATTACTGCACTGCAACAGATATTTAGGGGCACAGACCCTTCTTTAGTGAAATAATGTCTGGTTTTGAACACTAATGCCCTCTCTCTATATATCTATAGGGTGACAATCCACGTTACACTTGTGCTGAGTGTCTGTACTTTTTCTGGACTTATTTGCCCATTAACAAACTTACTTAGTAACATGTTATTTTCATTTTCATGTTTTATGCACAATATTTTCCCATTCTTCTTTGCATACTTACTGGAACCATTGGTCCATTTCTAAGTGTCACACACATTCACAAGAGGGAACCACACTGATAAATGTCACTGCTATTTAAGCTTGTTTGAAACTCGTCCACATGTGAGTGATATCACTTATGTTCCCACAAATATACTACACTATATTTTTCCTTTTTTTATTCTTTGCATGTACCTATTGAGAAGTCCACTGGATTAAAAAAAATACTTTTTTTATTCTTTATTTATCAAAAGAGTTCAATAGTAAGCATAACATTCAGCCAATGACAGCGACAGATTTATAACGCAATGAGTATATTATAACAGAAAAACCAAGCAAATATCAAATCAGCCCAATCGGTGGTCAGGACTAAGCTACCACTTGACCTCTAAAACTGTTGTATAAGGAAGAGAACAGAGAAGAGAAGAAGGAGGAGGAGAGGATGAGAAAAGAAAAGAAGGGAATAAATAGTGTCCTGTCGCACACTACCCCCAATCCACAACCTAACTAACCTCCTAAATCCTATTAGACATATAATCTCTCCATGGGTCCCAAACCTTGGAGAACCTAAAACCCTTTTGGCTGCCAGTGAAATTAAGTTTGGTAGTTTTTGAGTGTGCTTAGACATTCCGTCAACTGGACGTGAAAGTAGGAATACTAAGACAGAGAGTTCAACAGGCCTTTAGAGGACCCGCACAGCAAGGTCTCTAAAAATTGGACTTTTTAGTTCTTACTTTGCAAGATATATTTGACAGTGTGATATTTCTTCTGTTTTTACTAGGCGCAACCTGTCTCTGACATTCTGTACAGTGTATCTGTCTTTGCATATTCTGAGTGCTGCTGGTATGTAACCATTCATTTAAAGGCATTAAATACATTTCTGATGTTGAAGCAAGTCTGTCACCCCTGATAGAATCTTTATGAAATACTTATAAATACTGTGTTGGAATTTTAATAACATTACGACAGAGTGAAAAGATATCATAAGATAAAGTAGGGACTACTTTGTCTTACAGAAATTGACTAAGCGTGAAAAAATGCTGAGCTACTGCCGTCAGTTTAATAACATCCCACAACCATCTGGGATTAAGGCATTGTTTTCTCTTATCAAATGGCTATATCTGTGGAGGCTCCTGCTGTCTTGTGGGATCTTCCACGACATACATCGCCCATGTGCAAGAGTACAGCACTGGTGTGGGCACCTGGTGGATGAAGCGCCACAAGCTGAAGATCGAAGATGGTGGCGCCTTCGAAAGACAGCACCAGGAAAATATAATTCATCACTGTTGCACCCCCAGGCCAACGCAACTCAAAATATGCAAAGACCCCAGAAGGTGACAGAGCCTCTTTAAAATGTGTGTTCATATTTCCACACAAGGGTGACATCAGAAAAAAAAATCTGTTCTTTTTCTGTGACAATTTTGCATTCCAGCAAGTGTCAGAGTAAGATTGAATCTATCTGCCTCAAGGCATTGTGCATGGTATGTAAATTAAATTAAACATCTGGGAGAATCTTTGTTTGGATAAGTATGTTGTTTTAATATGTACTCACAGTTGGTAGGGAATTTTCAAGATGAGCAAGACTGTAAAAAGTTTAACTTCGTAGTCACTTCTTTTCTCATTTCTTTTGAAGAAAGCCAGTTTCTAAATCTAATTTGTTTACCATCATACAGAACTACAGTGGTGTGCAAATAAATTCGGACAAGCTCGTGTTCTCACAGAATTTTAAGTTGGTTGATAGAGATGTCGCGAACTGTTCGCGAACTGTCCGCCGGCGAACAATAGCGTGTTCGCATTGGGCGAACATATCCGATTTCCGGTCCGCCCCCTATACATCATCATTGAGTAAACTTTGACCCGGAACCTCACAGCCAGCAGACGCATTCCACCCAATCAGCAGCAGACCCTCCCTCCCAGGAAGTGTCTGCTGACTGTGAGGTTCCGGGTCAAAGTTTACTCAATGATGATGTATAGGGGGCGGACCGGAAATCGGATATGTTCGCCCAACGCGAACACGCTATTGTTCGCCGGCGGACAGTTTGCGAACAGTTCGGCGGACAGTTCGCGACATCTCTATTGGTTGACAGCTGTTAACTGGCTTGAACCACTTCTATATGCCTTGATCGGTTGTGGGAGATACATTTATGATCTCCATTCATGCAGGTTAATTTGATGCTTTTAGCACCATATTTATTAAAACATATTGACTATAGGCAACATAATTGATTTTTGGCTGTTTTTATGTTTTGGAAGTTTTTTTTTCATACTGTTTTGGATTGACATGACAAAAATTGGGGATATCCCTTTACCTATAGCCTGTATAGTCTTTTCGGCCACACTGATAATGTGGATACTAAACTTTGAAAGTGTGAATCAATGTAGCTTGGGTTGAGAAAAATTGGGATAGATCTAGCTTTTTGATATGTTACTTTTTAGCATACAGTTATCTTGTTCGTATGATGACTAGGTCCATGGTAAAGGTAACGATCTTATTTCTACATTCCATCTCAGAATCTTTAGTGACAGCATCAACTTACTGGGAATTGGGAAATACATTTTTTTTTAAAGAACAACAATCTGAAAAAAAAAAAAATATTTTGAAATCTGTCATACTATCTTAAGGGCCATTCAGCAGATGGCTTTGTGGTTGCACATTTAACAGATACAAATTCTTTCAAACCATTCCAGGGCACAGCTTGCAAGAAATGAAGCAGATTCCTCCTGAGGTCATAAAATCCCATTTTTATTAAAGTCTCTGATCAAACATAAATTCTAAGTGTTGATAGGAGTTGACTCAATCGAGCAATATTAATAGATAATACACCATGTATAATGGGAATTATGTGGTTTCAGAACTGCAGTGGCGCATATTACAAGAAAACAAAATCAAGCATCACGATACCTATTTTATGGTAGACAAAAAAATGTAAACATGATACTTTGTGTAGTTGACCCATTTGGGTATATTCATTAAATACAGTCAGTGTTATTAGCTAAAGTAGGAATCGTTGATAATTCAAAGTGAATTAACAATTTTTGACTTATGTACTCTCATCTTGACTACTTTTGGTGTCTCACGTGATTTGTAGATTGGTAATTTTTCTGACAGCCTCCAGGTGAACTCAAGATAAGCAAGAATGTGAATTTATATGTCCCGGAAATGTTTGATATCTCATATAAATGTATTATCCCCCTTGCTGGCAACCGCCTTGTTGGAAAAATGCTGCAAACCTCCTTGGTAGACTTCTGTTGACTGGATGTAGTGTTTTAGATACCAACTAAGCCTCACGGGGAACTGACAAAAGCTGACAAAACATACTATTTTTCATAGACTGGTATGACCTTCATAGGATTCCAGTGTCATTGACACAATAGCCTCGATTTAATATTGTTGGTCACATTTCAAATTGATTTAATATTTTTGGCTAAACTTTTAAAATTATGTAATTATGACAAATATTTAAATGTTGTAATATTTTGATATTTATATATTTTATAAATATATATATTTTCTGATATTTTAATTGTTGGGAAAAAACAATTGTTAAAGTTTGTCCAAAAATATTAAATAATTTGGAAATCTTATAAAAAAAAATTTTTTTAAATTAGATCGAGCCCTATGACCGTGCGGCTACTGAGAGGGATCAAGGGTTATAGGTAGAGCAGTGTTTCCCTGTTTACTTTGCATATAGGAATTATTTCCCAGTCACAGGCTTCAACTAGAAATCTTCCAATGTTCACCATGGTGTAGCTTTCTTACAGGGAATCATTTCATGCAATGAGTTCCATTTGAATGGTGAGTTCCACACACGTGTGTACAGTCTATAATCCTTCTTCATGAGAAGCTACTGCATAGTGCAGATTATTCTGTATGTGCAACATTTTCAGCTGCACATATAGGTTCCTTCCATCATGACTATTTCAAATTACTGAAGTGGTCATGGTGGTTGGAGTAACCCATTAAAGGAAAACAGCATCCTGTAGTGGTTATGGTGCTGAGTGCCCTGGTGCAAGCCCCTCCATTGTAAGCTATTTAACTGTTTTAGAAGTTACAATAAAAAAAACAGGCACAACTCACACCATATCCACTGGTAAGCATTAAAAATGGTGGTTGGAAGTGCTACATGTTTTATAAATGTAATTAAAATGTATGTATTTATTGGGTGTAAATTACGGAGATGCTTGTTTTTAGTCACTTAGCAGCATTCACCCTTACAATATGTATTTTAGTTTTTTACCCTATGAGAGATGTACTAAAATCTTTAAAACCACTTAACAGACCACTCTCGATGACATTGGCCTTCACGTGTGAGAGATGCACTAAAATCTTTAGAACCACTTAGCAGACCACTCTTGATGATATTGGCCTTTGAAGTATCAAGTCTAAGAGATAGAAAATTCCATTGCACAGCTTGCTACGAATGAACAAGATTTCTCTAGAGGTCAATGAATCTTCTATTTTATTAAATTCACTGATTAAACAAAAACTATAAGTGTTGGCAGAAGCGTGCTGAAGTGAGCAGAAAGTGATAAGTGCATTACTTACAGTGCGTTCTGTAGAGCGCCAAATATTATAATTTTTTTTATTGAATTTGACAATTTTTATTAGTTTTGTTAATACAAAACAAGTATACCAACCCAATAATAATATCTCGATATTTCAAAATACAGCATCCACAGCTAAACAGTAATTAGAATTGCAGTATACATTTAGTACAATATGTTAATCATTAAACAGCACTGTTGTGTTATAAAGGAATTCATTCAATTCTGTAACAAATCTCCTGCAGGGCCAGAACAATCGATGATTAAGTTTAGTTAAATGTGGGGGAGAAGGAGAAGATATGAGACACACATAAGACATCACAATCAGTGTTATTCGCAAAAATGAGGATTATTAAAAATTGTTAAAGTGAATTGAAAGGGAATTTCAAATGTAAGGTCAAAGTAACTTTTTTCCCCCCTATTTTCTGACGTGTTCTGTTTCTTTACCCTCTTTGACAGTTGCCTTCTCAGGCCTGGGTTTCACATCCTTCTACTTAGCGGGGAAGCTGCACTGCTTTACTGAGATTGGACAAGGGAAGAGCTGGCGACTCTGTGCTGCGATCCTTCCTCTGTACTGCGCAATGATGATTGCTCTCTCCCGAATGTGTGATTATAAACATCACTGGCAAGGTAAGCGTTGAGCATTGGTGGGTAGAGGAGAAATATTGATACATCTGGGAAAAGCAGGTGAGAAACAAAAAAAAGAGGAAGATGAAGTCAAACAGTTGTGACCATTCATGACATCAGACATTTCTGTTTATCCAGAAATTAATTATTTGGAAGTGTGGCATTATTTCTACAAGAGTATTTACGTATTTACTAATTGGCCAAGTTGATACATTGCAATCAGGAGGCTTTAAGTTTTGTTTTTTAAATAGTTATATTTGATCTAGGTATTCCCTACCTTTTAGCTGTCAGTCTGGCGTATCATGATGTCCTACTTGCCCCAGTGGGATGACATCTGACACCAGCCTTCAGTCAGTCACTATCAGCGGTACAGCTGGGGGAGAAGCTTTAGGGTCTGAATGTTCCAGGAGGGATAAGCCAAATGACAAATGATTTAGGTAAACTAGAAAAATGGTCAGAATTGTGGCAACTGACATTTAATGTGGATAAGTGCAAGATAATGCATCTTGGACGTAAAAACCAAGGGCAGAGTACAGAATATTTGATAGAGTCCTAACCTCAAC